CATAGGTTCATCCGAGACCAAATGCAGTTGGAGGCTGATGCGCGCGAAGCGCTCCCATACGTATGTCACGTCACTCAACCCGTAGCTGGGAAACAGCATGCCTAACTATACCTGCCTACAGAGCATTGAGAACTGCACCAAGATTTTGGGCTCGCTTCGACAGAGCGTTTTCGCCTGCCTTACTTGCAATCCTCCTCCGGCCAACCCGAAGGATCCCTATAATCCTGCTGGCGTCTGTTACGCCTGCTCTGTCCAATGCCACGGCGAACATACTCTCGTTGAAATCTTCACAAAGAGGGACTTCACTTGCGATTGCGGTACGACGCGATACCCTGCGACCAGCCCGTGTAGCCTGCGAGTCAACCCTACGACAAATACCAAAGGTGGAGTGCACTCTGAAGAGCCGGCCTCAAACAACCAGTACAACCAGAACTTTAGGAACAGATTCTGTGCATGCGAGTGCGACTACGATCCCTTTCAGCAGAAAGGCACCATGTTTCAGTGCCTAGGCCTGGGCACGGCTGAGACTGGTGGCTGTGGTGAAGACTGGTATCATCCCGGATGTCTAGTGGGTATGGGACCCGAATGGTTTGAGGGCATGAAGAAAGACACAAAGACCAAAATCGACGGAGGCGATCGTGAGAAGCCAGCATTGCCCACAATCTCCGAAGATGCGGAGCCTCAGCCAGCGACACAGGCAGCAGCAGCACCTGGTACTGGGGAGGAAGAAGAGGAAGACGACGACGACGATGTGCCGATGCCGCCCGGTTTCCCTGGAGAGGATGATTTCGAAGCTTTCCTCTGCTACAAATGCGTCAACGCCAACCCATGGATCAAGAAGTACGCTGGGGCCAAGGGCTTCCTGCCTGCCGTCTTCTCGCGCCAGAAGGCTCAAGAGAAGGTTCAAGAGGAGAAGGTTGAAGACGACAAAGTTCATGACGACAAGGCTCCAGATGCGGTAACGCAAGAGGCATCCAAGAAACGCAAGGCTGATGATGACGGCTCCGAATCTGATGTTAAGCGACTGAAGAGCGACCCTGAGGACACAGACGGCCAGCCCGACAATGTTAAGCCTGAAGTTAAGGAAGAGGCCAGCAAAACAACCACTGCTTGCAAGTGGGAAGCGTTGCCCTCGCCACCTGCAGAGGAGTTCTCGCTCTTCCTGAAGGAGGATTTCCGTGACCATCTCTGCAAGTGTTCGTCGTGCTACCCCAAGCTGGACCCGCATCCTCAGCTTCTTGAAGAGGAAGAGACGTACGAGCCACCCCTGTCCGACGGTGGCAATTCAGAGCACGGCGGTTCTACCAATGGCAGTGGAAGTCTTCTCGAGCGTGGCGAGAGCGCCCTGCGTAATGTAGATCGGGTTCGGGCCATTGAGGGCGTCATGGCCTACAACCACCTCAAGGATCAGCTTAAGCCGTTCTTCCAGAAGTTCGCTGAGAGCGGTCAGGCCATCGGCGCGGAAGACATCAAGTCCTACTTCGCTAAACTCAGGGGCGATGAGCAGGCTATCAAAGACGCAGGGGAGGCCGCCAATGGATCGAAGGATGATGATGATAGCCACCGACGTGAGCAAAGCGGTTACTGAACCGACAACTTCCTTCCTGGTAACAACACTATTGCATAGTCTTGAGCCCAGGCTTGTATAATATGGAATTCAGGGGGGGCATTTATCTGAACGAGGAGTTACTACGAGGCATGACGCACATTAATTTGACGGTAGCTCTGGCGCGGGCTTTAGTTGAGGCTTGGGATCCTTCCGGCTTCTGGTACACAAGACAATGAATTGGAGATGTACGCAGATGACCAAGCGCGCCGCATCACGCAGTCGTGGGACTCTGTGAACCTTGAACGTCTTGATGCTCGCGGCACTCCTTGACCACATGAATTACCAAATCACTCAGCTATCGACACCTGTCTTTCACGGGCAACGATGTCTAATCAGACCATGCTGGCTATCATACGAACAGTGACGTGTTGACCAGAAGGTATCTATCCATTGAGTACATTGAACGTCTCATCCACAACTGCGCCATGCGCGCAAGCAGAAGTATGGACCTTAAATTGAGTTCAGTCAAACTCATCCAGGTGTTTGAGAAGGGCCATGAACGCACAACCCAAATGAGCAAATGCTGATCACAAGACACTGTTGTTATCGCAAAGCCCCCAAGCTCAAGCCCATAAACCTTGGCAAGCCATGCGCCCCAAGATACCGAATGAAAGCTGCGATAGGATGATATGACGTTCATCATGACTTATGTATTATAATAAGAAGCAGATGAGTACTTGTCCTTTTTCTCAGGGCACAAGAAATATAAAGGCAAAAGCGTGGAATAGGCTTGCGTCTCTGGCTGCATATCGGTTAATGACATCAAGTGGCCAAAACATGGTTGACGAAGCTGTGACTGATAGTGACCATCACGGTCTCGCTCCTTCCATATATTGTCTAGATAAGCCGTCCGCATATCTTGACCAATACTGGGAAGAGGTTCTTTGAGGCCAGACCTGCCTTGCCGGAACCTTATGTGGCCCGCGTGAGTTCTCGACAAGTGTTGCCTTATCTGTGATTCGTTGGGCAAGGTAATCTACGAGGCGATGAATGATCACGCGCACCTTCCTCTATCGGGATGCAGCTTCCCCAGAGGTTCCCCTCAAAAGCCACGATGTTTGTAGCAATCAGGTCGTGTTTATAAACTCGGCCGACGTCCTCGTTGAACCTCTGTTCCCTTAATCTCTCTTTCACGTTTTCGATCGTTCATATCTCCGTTCTGGGCCCAACGATCGTTCTTGAACCTCACAACAAAACGTTATTGTTTTATCCCACCGAGTCGCCGGGTTTCCTCCCATCGCTCGTCTCATCCACCATATCATCAGAAGAGCCATGTCCTTCAATGACCCAGTATCGCCCTTGAAAAAGACGGCCAGCAACCTCGATAATGTCACCCACGCCACTCGTACGCCAAGCGGAGATGCCACCAATGCGCCCATTACCGCGGAGGGCGAGAAGTTGGAGCGAAACATTACCATTCGGCAGATGGTCTTCATAGCTCTTGGCGGCTCAATTGGAGCTGGTCTATTCGTGGGTTCCGGTGCTGCTCTAAGCTCTGGCGGTCCTCTGAACTTGGTTCTCAATTTTGCCCTTGTCGGCCTCGGCGTTGGCTGTACAATGGGCTGTCTCGGCGAGCTTGCAGGTGAGTTGAACGCTTCCCATTCTCCATCCTCTATACTGACGAGAAGCCACAGCTTCCTATCCTGTCGCTGGCGCATTCTACGACTACTCGAGGCGCATGATATCAGAGCCGTGGGGCTTTGCCATGGGGTGGAACTTCGTCTTCAACTGGCTCATTGTTTTCCCTTTTGAGCTCACTACGATCGCGGCTCAGATCAAGTACTGGGTTCCAGACTTGCAACCAGCCTATGTGATCACGCCGATTCTCTTTGCCCTAACGGGCTCGTCTTTTCTCGGATCTCGTTGGTTTGGCGAACTCGAGCATGCTTTCGGCATCGGTAAGGCACTCGCTATTGCCGTCTTTATCTTTGCAGCTATCTTCATCATTGCCGGCGCGGTGCCAACGGATCCTCGGTAAGCAGAAGTTTCCACGAGTTCAGGCCAACGGATGTTAACAAATTCTAGACACGGAACCGGAGCCGAGTATTGGGTCAACCCTGGTGCCGTGAAGAATGGCGTGGCTGGATTCTTCTTGGTCTTCCGCACTGCTGGCATGTCGTACGGAGGTACCGAACTTCTTGGACTGACGGCAGCCGAGTGCAAAAATCCGCAAAAAGCCTTACCACTGGCGACCAAGATTGTGTTTGCAAGGATCTTCTTTTTCTATATTGTCGCTCTTCTTCTCCTTGGTTTCGTGGTCCCTTCCAACGACCCAAATTTAGCCTCCACCGGTCATGGTGCCAAGTACAGCCCGTTCACGTTGGCTGCCCAGCTCGCCAACATCAAGCATCTTCCCGACTTTTTCAATGTTCTCATCGTAGTTGCATTGATATCAATGGCGAATGCTAGCATATTCGCCGCCAGTCGAGCCTTCCAAGCTCTCTGCGAGAAGGGAATGGGCCCCAAATGGGGTGCCAAAGTCAAGTGGGGTGTGCCGGTGTATGCCTTCTTGGTAACATTCTTAGTCGGCCTACTTGCCTTCGTCAACCTGGCCGAGGGCGGTGAAGCTATCTTCGACTGGCTGCTAAGTCTGTCGGGAGCCAGCAACTACTACACTTGGGCCTCGATTTGCTTCAGCCACATTCGCTTCCGCAGAGCATGGGCGGCCCAGGGCCACGACAAGGCCACCCTTTTGTGGCGAACACCTTTCGGTACCTGGGGGGCTTGGGTTGGCCTGCTTGTTTGCATCCTTGGTCTTCTGGCGAATGTCATTACCGCTGCGATGCCCGTCGGCGGCAAATACTCAGCCCAAGCCATTGTCCGCGACAACATTGGCACCGTCATTCCTCCGTGCCTTTACTTTGGATACCGCTTATACCAGCGCTTTATCCAGAAGGCCAAGAAGCCATTGCTCATTCCTCTGGAGGAGGTAGATTTGCGATACGGCCTTCGCCTTACTGCTGATAGGTCTGGCGCGGATCTAGAGCAGCCGACGCGTGTCCAAGTAGTCGAAAAGTGACATTGTTTGCGGGTAGGATTTAGGAGACCATTTAGTTGTTCGCGATTGGGGTACCGGAGTTTGACAGTCTTAAGTGTTCCCGCAGGGAAACCAAACGGAGTTTTCGTTTTGTGTAGCAGTACTGGTATAAACAGACTTTGGTGCATAATTATCACAAAGACGGTTCATTCGTTCCATAGTATTCGTGACAATGACCGCCAGGTGCATCGTAATGCATGATAAACGTGACTTGAGGTATAATGCGACCGCTCACCCTTGAGCGTTCCAGCTTCCCAGACCCAATCCCCAACGCCGTTTACTTTTTATTTGGAATAATTCACTGGCCCTGGTGTCGACAAAGCATTTCAAAAGATTCACCAAACCTCCTCAGTCTCATTGACCAGAAGAGCCTGTGCTTGAAGTCGCACTCGAGGGCCGCGGCGGGGGCACTGGCATGCCCATGGGAATCCCCAGATCTCTCTGCATCGGTACACCGCCCATCATGCTTGACTCGGGGGACTGGGGTCGTGAGTACTCGTCACCCATCTGCTGGCTTCCGGCGAGCTGGTCTTGGGCAGCCTTCTGCTCCAACTCCTTTAGACGCTCCTTCTCGGCGGGGTCAATGAGATCGTCGTCGTCACTCCAGCAAGGATCCTCATCGCCGACCTCAGGCATGGCCATCCGTTTCCAAAATCGCAGCTCCTGGCGCGCGGCAACATCCTCAACGCGCCGGTCCCACCTAGTCTCGTCCTCATCGTACTTGCGGCGGAACGTGCGCAGCAGCTCGTTGGCCTTGCCGGCGCGCTCTTGCATCTCCCAGATCTGCTCCCGCAACCTGCTGTTTTCAGCGCGTGCTTCGGCGAGCTGGGAGCGGTAGGATCGGTGCCACGCGGCAACGTCGGTGACGTGCTTCGCCTTGTATTCGTGGAATTGCTTGAGCATCGCGGCGAGTACAGTGGCGTATTGTGCGAGGAGGGTGGCATTGGCGTCTCGGCTGTACTTGGCCTTTTCGAGTGATTCGGACAGGATAGATATCAGCGTATCGAGGTTCTGTTCTTGAGCTGCGAGCGTTGAAAGTCAGCATCTTTGCGGAGCCCGTGGCCTGGGGAGAGCAAGCCCCTGGGTGTTCGTGCGTACCGTTGATGTCGTCGGCGGCATTGTGAATCAGATCATCGTTGTTTACGCCTTGAGTCCTTGCGCGGCTGCGTACCCTGCCGAGACCAGAGACAATATCCTCAGTCACGCGACGGTTCTCCGCGAGCTGCCGACTCAGCTCCTCGACCATGCCGTAGATGTAGTTCAGCTCGGCCTGCTGACCTGCCGGGGTGGGCACGCCGCCCATGCCAGCAGGCATGTTGCCGCCGTTCATTCCGTTCATGAGGACGAGCTGCTGGTATTGTGCGTGGGCGAGGGCTTGCTGGGCGGGTGTGAGGGGGCTCGGTGCGGCGTAAGATGGATTTGGCGGCGCCGGGTGGTACTGTGGTTGGGGCTGCTGTTGCTGTTGCTGGCGCGATATAGCGAATTGGAGCTGCGGCTGCTGATGTTGCTGTTGCTGCTGGGTTTGGTACTGCTGCTGACTGAAATGTTGGGCAGCTGGACTAGACGCGTTGGAGATCGGGTTGAGGGGGAGATCGCCAGTGGTTGATGGAGGAGCGGGAAAGTTCATGGCCATCAGTCTGGTGGTCGCAACTGGCAGGCAGCTGTGAGGTGTTCCGGACGTGAGCCGGGGACAAGAAGCGATGGACTGGCCTTTGGAGGTGGAGCTTGTCTGAGGTGGGTGAAGCGCTCGTTCGTGGAAGGTACCTTAATTACTCTAGAGATCCGTGCCGTTTTGGGTTTGGAGGTGTGGAGGGCGAAGGGGGTGTGTTGCTGCAGGACACGCTTTTTGGATGTGATATCGCTGTATCCGTGCGGGCGCTTAGGGAAGAGCGGCTAAACCAATGTGCAGCCGCATCTGTGCATAAATCCTGCTTTCGAGCTTGCATAAATTGGTTGATGCAACAACGACTGCACCTCTCGGCCAACAATAATACGGCATCTGGAAACAGTGGTGGACAAAGATAAAACTGGGAAGGAATCGATAACACAAACGGGATGATACTATAACAAGAGTTCGGCTTCTTCAATCCCCAGTCCTTATAGCCTTCCTTCCTTCACTCCATCTCTCCAATTTGACCGTAGCCGAGCTTCTGCCCGCCTTATTCACTTCTTCTGCAGGTGTCTGTTGAGGATTGACGCCTTGGGCGTTTCCTCGCCCATTTCGACATCTTCGTCCTCATCCTCGTCGTGGTTCTCTCCCAGGCCAGTCGCGACGGCATACTGCGAAAGAATCTCCCGCTCACGAGCAACATCTCTTCCGTAGAGGGAGTTAGTTCTGTCAAACTCTCCTCGGCCTCTCTTGGTAGGCGTTTGAGGAAGCTCGGCGCCGTGTGCAAAGACGAAAGTGTCCATAGGACGAACCCCAGCCTGCTCGGGTGGGCGCTGGGCGACTTTGAGGTTTCCCATTTGGCGACGGAGAGGGCGGAGGGAAGGCGAATCATCCTCCATTTCCATGGGATCATGAACGAACAGCTGATTTCCGGGGGCTGACATGGTAGGAGGAGCGGTCTTGACTGATTGGGGTCGGTCGGGAACACGCATCTCAAGACCACCTTCTATGGACTTTCCTGCCTTGCGCGGAGTGACGACCGGGGTGTCGGTTTGGCGCCACTCGGGGTTTGAGGGCATCTTGTTCTTCATGCCGAGAGCAAGATAGTACTTCGGGCTCGGCTCAAAGTCGAGAACAAGACCAGCGCCTGGACTTCCTTCGTCGCCTTCCAAAACAGATCGAGTCATCTCAGGGTTGTGGAGTCGAAGGGCTTTCGAAGTTCGAGGGGTTTCGCTGCCCGGCTGAGTACGCGTAGCCTTGGGAGTCGACTGGTCACCAAAAGTACCACGCGTGGTAGGGGTACCGAAGACGTCGGCGTCTTCATGAACAAATCCCTTGGGGACCCAGGTGTTGTTGCGGCTGCCTCGATGGAAAACTTCAGGGTTATTGTTGTTGGTGTTGCCGGCGCGGCCCTTGCGGGAGACAGGCTTGAGGATGCGGCGGCCAGTGACGGGGCAGTTAGTGCTGCTCTGCGTATTGAAGTCTGCGGCAGAGTCGCTGTCCGAGAATGGTGACGAGACATACTGCTGACGAGTCTCTGCAGCAATCATATCCTCTACGTTGTCATCTTCCGCCGTCTTCGCCATCTGAGCGCCGGCGGGCCACAGATTCCGACGGACTCCATCGCCACCATCGGTGCCTTCGGTGCTCATCTTGACAGGAATTTTTGCCGGTATCTGGGAAGCTCAACTGGGATTTAATTAGCATAGAGGGACCTCTCATCTTGAAGGTAGCTTACCTCTGGGAAAAAGGGGTTCCAAGGAGACGAAGGGCTTTGACACAAGTACAAGGCTCAACTTCAGGGGTTTCAAAAGCTGGCTGTGTGCTGGTGGCTTTTCTTGGCCAGATTGTGAACAAGAGGCAGAGAGATTGATGAGATGAAGCACGCAGAGATTGTTCTTCAGCTATGTTTCAGAGGAGCTCCTGCTGTCCAAGATATTCTGGTGCCATCTTGAGGTTGCGGGCGCTTCCCGGTCCAAGCTCACTGGCACCAAGACTTGATTATGTCGTCGGGTGAGTGCCTTCACGATCCATTGATATCGAGAAGGGTGATGCTTGGTTCAGCACGGAACATTCTCTACTAAAGGCAGTGACTGGATTCTCAGTTAGACCCCATATCGTCAAGTGAGTCTGGAGATCTAAGAATCCCTCAACTCCAGCTAGATAGCTTCAAAAGGTGGTTACATTGTGACAGGAATCATCAAGTGTTGCTGTCCAAGTCCTCGCTTAAGGCTGCGAGTGACCTACCAAATCTACAATGAGGAGTGACCATAGGTTCAGAGAGCAACTACTACTACAGCGCTTTCATTGATGACTAGCATGTTGGAGTCAAAGTAGTCTTTGACTTGGCAGGCACTTTCATTGGACTTCTCGTATCATGGAATAGGATGGAATAGAGACAACATGCTTCCAAAGGTTTCGGTAAACTATGTTCAACAATGGTATTCGTCTCGAAGGACTCAAAGCGAGCGCGAATCGAAGGTCATGAACTGCTATCTTGTCTCAGCAACTACCAAGCCAAGCACCCACGGTGGTCAATGTGGATGTCTCTAGTAATTAACCCGGCTGGTCAGTCATCGACAGGCGCCAGATCCGCCTGCAACTGGGTTTTCATCCACTCTAACCCTTCTGAGCATCAACCAAATGTGGATGCAGATGATCCTCCCGACAGTTTGGCCGGCGCGAACCCTCACTCGGCCGGTCACCGCATGGATGGTTGTCCGGGGTGCAGCTACGACATGACCACAGTCACTAACACGTCTACGATCCAGAACTTTTGGAGGCCAAGATGACATGAGCTTGCGGAGTCTCCGCGTTCTGAGCCGGGGCGATTTGAGGGTCACCGGCTCTGTTGCGGATGCGGGGTGATGCGGGGCAGTCGAGCTGTTGTCGTCGTCTCAGTGGTGTCCCCCGCCATCCGGTCAAGCCACCAGTCGGGCCGTTGGCTGCACCCGAACCGGGCCAAGGATCCAGGCCCCCCGGGAAAGAAATAAACGAAACGAAACACTGCTTTTTCTCCGCTTGACATCACCAATGGCAGCTCATCTTGCCCCCCTCCACCTCCCCCCTGCTGCATGGAACCACACTCAGTCTTCCCCGCCCCCAGCTATCCATCCCATCGGCCATTGCCATCTCCAACTTCTCCCGGTTTACGCATGCTACCTACGCGATGCACACTGCAGCTCATCGTCACGCTTGCTGATTTCTCCTAGGCTCGGAATGCGAGTGCGGGGAAAGATGCGAAAGCTGGCGGCCGGTCTTGAAATCTGACGGCACACGGCCCTACCTCGCTCCATTACTCGCTCACACCACTTGTCAATTAGACATTTTCACCAATTAACCTTAGTCCCCTGAATGCTAGCCCAACCTCCAGGGAGTCCTGGCCACCACAGATGAAGGTCCGGATGACGTTTTATGCGCCTGCCCCATGCTGCCGCAAGCTAATTGCGGCTTTCATTAGCGGGCATGTCCGTACGATGGAAAAGTGGTGAGGTAGCTTTGCGTCTACCCTGCAGTACGAGCTCTCGGGATGAACGGTTGGAAAGAGCTTTCTACCTCCCCAGCGGGGTTCACTTACCCTCCCTGCCGATGTAACTTCACCTAGAGCGATCTGCAAGCAACCACGAGTATAAAAGTTACCTCCCAGCCGGGTTCGCGTGTTCTCATACTTCTCGAGCCAAGCTCGCCAGCACCTTCGAAGCCCGAGATTCACCATGGCGAGACACCTCTCCATCTTTGCGCTGCTGACGACGGCAGTCTCAGCGGCTGTGATCCGACGAGACTACCCGAGCGACGATGCACTTGCGAAATGTCCCGGCTACCAGGCTTCGAATGTCCAGACATCTTCCAACGGCCTGACTGCCCAGCTTTCCCTCGCTGGAGAGCCGTGCGACGCCTACGGAACCGACCTGAAGGATCTGACACTGACTGTCGAATACCAGACTGGTAAGATAAAAGACAGCTCGTAACAGCCCTAGCCTTTGTCCGAGAATGCCTAACAGACTCTCCAGATACTCGCCTGCACGTCAAGATCCAGGATGCCAACAACACGGTGTATCAGGTGCCCGAGTCGGTGTTTCCCCGTCCCAGTGGCCCTGGGGTTGATGCGGCGCAGTCCAAGCTGCACTTCAACTACACGGAGAACCCCTTCGCCTTTTCGGTCAGCAGAACCGACACTGGCGAGGTCCTGTTCGACACTTCTGGCGCCAACATCGTTTTCGAGAGTCAATACCTTCGTCTGAGAACAAAGCTGCCCGACAACCCCAACCTATATGGCCTGGGCGAGCACTCAGACCCTTTCCGGTTGAACACGACAGATTATATCCGCACTCTCTGGTCTCAAGACTCCTACGGCATTCCATCAGGCGCAAACCTGTACGGAAACCATCCCGTCTACTATGAGCATCGCAAGACTGGCACACACGGAGTCTTCTTCCTCAACTCCAACGGCATGGATGTCTTCATCAACAAGACGGAAGAGTCCGGACAATACCTTCAGTACAACACTCTCGGTGGAGTCCTCGACTTTTACTTCGTTGCCGGACCCTCTCCTGTCGAAGTGACACAGCAATACGCCCAGGTTGCTGGGCTCCCTGCTATGATGCCATACTGGGGTTTCGGATTCCACCAATGTCGTTACGGCTACCGGGATGTTTTCGATGTCGCCGAGGTTGTTCACAACTACAGTGTCGCCGAGATCCCCTTGGAGACAATGTGGACTGACATTGATTACATGGATCGACGCAGGTAAGTCACGCTTGAAAAGAGATTACCTCGGTGTTGCTGACTTTCGAACCAGGGTCTTCTCTCTGGACCCCGACCGTTACCCTCTCGAAAAGATGCGACAGCTTGTCGACAAGCTGCACGAGAATGATCAACACTATATTGTTATGGTAGATCCTGCCGTGGCCTACCAACAATATGAGCCGATGCTCCGAGGTATCGAGGACAACATCTGGCTGTTGCGCAGCAATGGTTCAGTCTGGATCGGCGTCGTCTGGCCCGGTGTATCTGTTTTCCCCGATTGGTTCTCCGAGAACATTACCAAGTACTGGAACAACGAGTTCGCCACATTCTTCTCAGCCGAGAGCGGCGTCGATATCGATGCTCTCTGGATCGACATGAATGAGCCGTCCAACTTCCCGTGCTACTTCCCCTGTGACGACCCGTACGCATCTGCCGTTGGCTTCCCACCAGACCCGCCACCCGTCAGAGAAAACCCCCGTCCCTTGCCTGGCTGGCCGTGCGACTTCCAGCCACCGGGAACCACCAACTGCTCGAGTCAATCCAAGCGCTCAGATTTGGCCCAGAATGTATCACCAAGAACCTTGCCCTTCAGCGAGAAGTTCGAAAACCTCATTCTTGCCGAGCGACAAGAATCCGGTGACCAGAAAGGTCTGCCAGGAAGAGATCTCTTGTTCCCCAAGTACGCCATTCACAACAAGGCGGCATGGGATACAGAGTCAAACGCGGCTGCCGGCGGCATTTCGAACAAGACGGTCAACACAGACGTGATTCACCAGAACGGTCTGACAATGTATGACACTCACAACCTTTATGGGTCTATGATGTCGTCAGCCTCTCGCGTCGCCATGGAGGCTCGTCGCCCCGGCCTCCGTCCCCTCATTATCACTCGTTCTACCTTTGCCGGTGCCGGTGCTCATGTTGGACATTGGCTAGGTGACAACCTGTCCAACTGGTCTCTTTACCGCATCTCCATCTCCCAGCTCCTTCAGTTCGCCTCTGTTTACCAGGTACCCATGGTAGGCTCTGATGCTTGCGGATTCGGTGACAACACCAACGAGCAGCTATGCGCTCGTTGGGCTGCTCTGGCCGCTTTCTCAACCTTCTACCGCAACCACAATTCTCTTGACAGCATCTCTCAAGAATTCTACCTCTGGGACAGTGTCGCTGAGAGCGCCAGGAGAGCAATCTCCATCCGTTACCGCCTGCTCGACTACATCTACACGGCCGTTTACCAGCAGACAATCGATGGCACCCCGGTCATCAACCCTGTCTTTTATCTATACCCTCAGGATGAGAAGTCGTTTGGACTGGATCTTCAATACTTCTACGGCGATTCGATCCTGGTAGCACCCGTCACGGAGGAAAATTCCACGTCTGTTGATGTCTACTTCCCCGACGACGCATTCTACGACTGGTACACTCATGAGACCATCCAGGGCAAGGGCGAAGTCGTCTCTTTGACTGAGCAGAACTACACCACAATCCCGCTCTTCATCCGCGGCGGCTCCGTGCTGCCCCTGCGCGCCAATAGTGCCATGACGACCACTAAGCTCAGGGAAGAGAACTTCGAGCTTCTCATTGCCGTAAACAGGAATGGAACTGCCAAGGGCCAGCTGTATCTCGACGATGGCGTCAGCTTGGAGCAGTCTGGTATCACTCACGTCACATTCGATTACAAGGACGGCAAAGTTGCGGTTGATGGCGAGTTCGGCTACAGCACGCCGCTCAAGGTGTCCAAGATCACCTTCTTGGGTGGCGGACAGCAGAATGGAAAGAGGCGGGAGTCCATCATGACAATTGCAGTTGATAAGCCCTTGACCGGGCCGTTCGTGATTGAGATCAACTAGACCGATGTTCGGGTCTTAAATGGTGTACATCACCCTTTCCTAATGCATATACATAATTACGAAGAGGATTTCTTTCGCCTTGTAACTTCCCACTGCTACCTGTGACAAAGACTAGTTGACTGGTACAAAGATTCGGTCAATGTCCGCAACCCAAGATGAGTCGGTGCTAGCGATGGTGATGGTGTTGCTCGATCCCGAGTTGAGATTGCAGAACAAGGAGCTGCTTCCAGGAGTGTTGCCATCAGCAGTCGGCAGAAACGCAATGGTCTGTGAGACACCGTTGCAGGTCACCGTCGCCCATCGCTGACTAGAGTCGCCGTTGAGATGCTTGATCCTCACCGTGGTGCGACCGGTCGCCTGGGCGCTGACGCTCGAGAACTGAACCGTACCGCCGGCCGAGCCGCCAACATATCCGGCCGCGGCACTGCCGCTGCATCCCGTGCAGGAAATGCTCTTCGCGCCGCCCGATAGCGTGGCCGACTCGCCCTCATAGGAGGTCTCGGAAGGTCCGACTGCCCAGGTTCCCGCGGCGACGTTTGGCGTCCAGTTGACGCGGTCCGCGAGGGTGATGGTTGTGCCGGAGATGGTCAGCGGCAGCCAGATGTAGGTGCTGCGCATCAGGTTCGTGCTGACCCAGCGGTCGCCCATGTAGATGACCATGTCGCCGACGGGCAAGATGTAGGACGTCTGGCTGGTGAAGGTGTTGGAGCCTACAGGGGCGAAAGTTGCCCACGAAGACCAGGGGCCCGAGAGGGACGTGGCGTAACTGTAGACCTGCAACGAGTGAGACGAAGGACGATGTGTCGACGTAAAGGGGGAGAACAAACATTGTCGTTGGGGTTCCAGCCGGTGAGCTTGCTTCCAAACATGAAGTAGTAGCCATTGCGCTTGAGAATGGCGGGGGACTCGATGTTGGTGGTCCAGAGGTAGACGTTGCTTGTGACATTGAGGTAGTCGGAGGTGAGGGCGTCGATGCGCAGACCATTAGGCCGCTGTACAGCTCGTCAGATTTTATTTAGAAAAGAACAAGCATAGGGAGCCAAAATCTCACATCCTCAGTCAACAGATACGCGGATCCGTTGTCGTCCTGGAACAAGCCAATGTCGCGGCTCTCGAACCCCAGAGGCCGCCAACTGCTGATGTACGTGTACTTGCCGCATACGGTGTCCGAGGTGGCCACGCCGACCTTCGCCTCGCCGTAGTTGCTGCTGTCAATGTGCAGGTACATGACATACTTGCGCGTTGACGAGTTGTAGATGACCTTGGGCCGCTCGACGACGCGGTTGGGGCCCAGGTCGCCGCTGGCGGTGCGCGAGAGCAGGGCCCCGACGTAGGTCCATTCGACGAGGTTGGTCGAGGAGTAGCAGTTTACGTTCTGGAACGCCGAGCCTTCGGTCTTGTCCTCGCCAATCATGTAGTAAGTCGAGCCGACCTTGGTGATGCCAGCGCCGTGGGCTTGAATGTGCCGGCCGGTGTTTGTCTAGTTTCCAACCACAGTCAGTTTATCATTGTGACCAAGGGGGGAAGGACCCGAATCAAGCTGGGCATCATTACCGCAGTCCAAGTGCCGCCGGGAATGATCTGGAGCGTGGCCTTTGCAAGACCAGCTCCCGCAAGGAGAGAGGTGAGGCCGTGGAGCAGACGCATGGTGTGGCCGTGTAAGTCGGTTTAGATCAATGCTCTCTCTCTCTCGCTGCAATGCTGTATCGATCGTGGACGAGGTAGCAGAATCGCAAACCCTAACCAGAGAGGTTCCAATCGCCCAAACATCGCGCTACCTTGGGTTGTAGTTATAGTTTCCCATGCCTGGCAACAAACAATTGATCATTCTGCGCCATCGTCAGCTGCGGCCCTCGGCTCCGGCATCCCCACCTCACAATCCAATTCGCAACGCTCCCAAAAACCTTTCGTTCGTGCGCTTTCAGCCTGTAGACTAGACGGACAACCGGCTCCCTCGGCCGGAGAATTGGTGGTTCCTTCAATTGGAAGCTTGCGTCCTGGTCTTCGCCCCGAACGGTGTGAGTGGCCCGCCAATATCCAGGTGGAGGCTGTGGGTGTAGTGCTCATGTGTTCACCATCAACAGCCTTTCTGGGATACCAAAGCCGCTCCGAGGTTGCAGCCATTGAAGCACTATGTCATTAGCAAAAGGGTGGGCGAGTCGAGAGGCAGGCACAGGCACACATGCGCTAATCACACTTCCCCGCAACCCGGTGCGACGCTGGCGTGTCGATGCCATGTTTGTCCAATGATTCTTCGGCCCTGGCGGGCGTCGGCTGATCTACCGGCGGAGCATCACCGGGGTGCAGTACCGAATCCGGACCGGGTCTCAAAAGCTTGGTTCACGCGCGACCCCACAGCGTGCACGATGCTATTGCAGTGTTCCATGGCAACTTGTTTGATTCTTTCTCGACTTCCCTATTGTTTTTCTTTTAGTTATGTTCCTTATACCTGTCCCTGAAGAGGGGTTCTTTTTATTCCCTGCCATATTCCACTTGGTTTCCAAGTTGCTGCTCATGGCGAATCGAACCAGCTGTCTGGGGACCGACCAAGCGAGCCCCCAGCCAAGCAAGAAGCGAACAATTTTCGAGCAGAGTGTCGTTCATATCTCGTATCAGTCGTTCCCGGAAAACTCCCGCCAATCGATGAAAATACGCCGTATAGTATAGGTCGACAAAAAGCCTTAGCGCCGCGCCAGCTTTCGTTCGCTCGTTCAGAACCGCATCGTATGCTTCCCCGTTGTATATTCTACGTGTCCACCTCCATTTTGTCATCGGCGTCTCCTGCGTCGGCTGCCTCCTCGACTTCCTGTTTCGGCTCTGGGAATGCTACCGAGATGGAATCCTTTGAGTCTCCCCCACTGACTGTGCCGCCGCCGCCGCCAACAGCTCCGTTGCCAGCGCAAAGACGATACTCGCCGTCTTCTTTACGCTCTATGATGCCCTCGTCAAGAGCCCACTTGGCCAATAACCGGTCAACCCCAAGCCGCTGGCCCTCGCCCTTCTCCATGTGTCTGCCAACATGCTCTGTCCACTCATCCCATGAACCGGGACCTTCGAATACGCTTTGACAGTCAGGTTTGGGACATGCTGACTTTTGAGGCGGCGATCGACGTGTCACAAGACATGTTGTTTGCATCTCTTTGACATGGCCCTCCCACTCAACTTGAAGCTTACTGTCGCCTTTGGCGATCGCCTTTTTGATGGCAAAAGGTGCATGCATGCGGCGGAGATGTTGGGTAAATAAATCTTTTCGGTTGAACTCGTTGCCCTTGCCCTCGATTGTGCTCTGCGGGCAGGATGAACAGCGGTAGTATTGGAGACACAGATGCTGGGAGGCAATATGTCGCTTCCACTCGTTCTTCGATCCAAAAGTACTAGTGCAGCCTGCGAATGAGAAGGCGCAAGGGAATGGTCTGGTATGCGCTGCAGCGATGTGTTTGCGAAGTGACGAGGAGTCCTTGAAGGGGGCGTGGCTGCAAAGTGTGCACCTCGTCTCTTGTTTCGGTGTCGCTTTTTGGAGGGATCTCCTCTGCTTAGGCTTCGAGTTGGGAGTGTTCATGTCTATCGAATGCATCGTGTCGTCGGCGCCAGACTCGTGGGATGAACTGTCTTCATGATTTGCAGTCATCACCCCATCAGGCAGGGTAGTCCGTTGTTGCCTCTCTACCGCAGGCGGGGCCTCGTCACTAAGATGGCGAACGTGGCTCAATGCCTTCAGTTGTTCTGCGGCCTCCTGCATCTCGGCCGAATCTTCGACATCATCTTTGCCATCAATGGCTGCAGCCGCCGCTGCAGTGGCGTATGAGATCCCCGACGGCGTGGTATCTAGACGACTAAGTGCCTCGTGATAGGCGGCGTCTTTACTGTCTAAAGAGCGTCGGTGCATGGCTGGTGTGCTTACTGCCATCTCCCTCGCTTCCAACAATATGCGGCCGTCCTCAACTTCTTTTGCAGTCGCTTTGATGCCTGATGATCCCTTCAATTTCTGATACAGGTGAATCATGTTATGCGATGTGATGTATCCTAGGAAACAGCAAACTTTGTCGTGCTGTACAACGTTCCAAATGGAGTGTGGCATTGATATCAGGAGCATCGTAGGCGGTCCAAGGAACATGCCCTCTACTTCGATCTTGGCAGCCAGAGGAGGAGTGTTGTGTAGCCAGCCGTTGAAAAAGGACATGTCTGGACTGGCGTCTCCTACGAAGGTGGTGCACACGAGCACTCTTGCCTCGTCGAACCGCAGATCGGTGACGGACGCAGGGTCGATCAGCTGATCCTCTTTTGACTTTGCATGGGATTCAGCGTCGCCGTTATGCGGCGATTGCTGAACAGCCCGTGGAGGCAAGGGGGCCAGGCTGAGGCTTTGGCCCTTCCCAGGAGTAAGAGTAAACAGAATGGGAAGTTGGGGTGGCGGGGACGGACTTTTGCTTGCGCCATTTGTGAGCTTAGCAGATTGAGCATGTTCTTGTTGCCGCAACAGCACAATCTCTTCATGCAATCGCGGCACGCTGAATGGCCTCCCAACTGTGCTGAGTTTGTGTAATGCTTCAATCAAGTGATATGTGAAGGACTTCCCCGTCGTTTCTCGGGCGGTCTGTTCAGAGCCGCACGCGGCAATGGCTTGCTTGAGTCCATGGCTGCCACTCATGGGTATGTCACGAACTGTGCAGGTATCGAGCAGAAGCAGAATATCAGACTGCGCATCCTCGAACAGGCATCGAACGCCGTCCCATTTGAGCTTCGCGGCGTCTTCTCGGTTATTGCTAGGGAGAAGCGGTCAGAAGAGTGCGAAGAGATGATGGCGGCGGATGCCCGACTCACCAAGCCCAATAGAGCTGATTGTCCGCAACATAGCCGTAGCCAGCATAGTAAATGATCAACAAGTGGTTGTTGCGACCATGCTCGAGGAACGAGGCCATCTGCACGCCGAGCTTGATGCTGGGATTGGGCACCGTTGGGATGGTCCATCGATCGGTTCGATAGTTGTAGCGGTCTCTGAGGATGTTTTCCAGGGCTGTGAGATCAGCTTCGGCCGAAGTGTCTTCTTCCCATCGCAGGAGCAGGACCGAGACGCTATCATACGGGGGGCGCTCGGTCTGACGCTGGATCAGCATGGCAGCATCCTGAAGATGCCTCGCAAAGGACTCGAAATCATGGCGCTCGGCTGGAGGGGCCTCAGGGACCTGCTGTTGCTGAAGCTTCAAGAGATGATATTAGCGCCTTGGTCTAGGAAGTTCACGGGCAGCATGGGCGACAATGACGGGCAGGGCCAGGACATAGAGTCTCGTGAGGATGGATTGGGAGAATCGCGCGAGCTCACCGATTCGGGGAAAGGCGCAGGCTGGGCAGACTCTTTGGGCGCGGGCAAGAGTCGTCTTTTCTTGGCCGGTTGCTCCATCTACAGATCGAATCAATGGACGACAATTGGGTAGTCAGGGTGATGATTCGATGCGGTGCGTATAGATCATGAGAGGCGACAATGGTTAAGATTTTGGAAGGCAGGGCAGGGCAGGGTCGGCGATGAAGGAAGACCAGGTCCAGCCAGCCTAGGCTCGAGGCTTCGGCGAGGCTGTGTGCCTCAATCATGACCCACACCATGTGCTTGTCTGATTGGCCACAACACACTATGGATGCACCCGAATGTCGCCCGGCCGTTCTCCATTCAGTCCTTCCACGTCCTCACCACCAACCCCTCCACAAAGATTACCACCAAGGTACCTACCTAGTCTTCTTTTCCTTGCTCTGGAGACCTTACCGACCGGCCACCGCACCGCATCATCTTCCTCACTCTCTCTCCCTCCACCCTCCCACCGACGCACATCAATGACTTGCTGGCTGTTTTCCTCACCTCTCACCTTTCTGGGATATCTTCCCCTCACCATTCAATTCCTTCGGGGCTAGGCTGGGCTGGCGTTGGCTAGCTACCCCTCCGCCTTGCCCCCCCTCTTGGGGTATCCGAAGCCCGATAAGTGGCCGTGTCCACTGCAGCCACGACCTGACTGCGGCCCTCGAATGGAGCCACATGTCTCTCGGTCATGCTGCAAGGCAGCTTAGCTTGCTAGCTTCATCGGACACGCCTTAGGAGTCGAGGTACGTTGCCCGTTGTCTGCCAGCCATGGTAGGTAAGAAGAAGAAGGAAGCAGTCGATCAGAGACAGGCGCACGGCATTAGCCTTGCTCGCTCACTGCCGTTGAATTCATCCAAGGTACGGTCCAATTGTACCGAGCCGTCCTGATCTGACCTGGCCTGGCATGGCCTGACCGACACTTTTCCGTCTCCGTCTCTCTCGCAACAGCCCAGGTAGCTAGCTCACCGACATCCGACCTTTGGTTGTTGCAATATTATGCCGTGCCATGCTGTACAGAGAGAGATGCAGACGATACACCACGCCAGCCAGCCAGCCAATCTCACCGCAGACATGCCCAAGAAGGCAGACAGCGGACCACGGCACAAGACCCAATTCTGGTCTGACAATCAACCCGGGAGAAGTCGTCGCCGTCGCCGCCGAGGGAGAGATGCTCCTCATCCTCCTGCAAGGCCGATGACTTACACTTTCACAAGGCATGGCTGCAGGTGTCCAGCCCCACCCCTCCAACACTTCATCACTCCATCCCCTCGCTGCCGCCGGCCAATTGGCGTGCGTCCCTCCCCGTCTCGTCAGGTTCCAGTGCATCCGTGTTCCTGTTCTTCTTTGGCCCCGTTGCAGCCTTCCATCGGAGGGGCACCACGACGCGTTGCGCAAAGCTGGGCGGGATCTTCGCTTCGCAGATGGATGCACACCATCACTCGCGCTCTGTTGAGGTCCAGCCTAGCGCCCTACTACGTATGTATGTCTTTGTCAATCTTTTGGGGGGTGTAGGCCATTCGCACCACCAAATGTCTGTTCATGCCCTACCTGATATTACCTGTCCTACTTTGCGACAGGCTTGTTGTGGTTGTAATTAAGCTATCGCACACTTCGGCTGAGTTCCCCATCATCACTACGTAAAATGACAGAGCTCCAGTGCCTTGACCCAGACCCCTACTGAGCTTACTGAGCGAGCACTGCAGCCTTTCGTCTCTGCCCTCCAGCGGAGCAGTTTGGCTGCCTCGGCTGGGGCACTGACGACCAAGACGATGAAGGGTCTTTCCTGGAAGCAGGGGACATAGCTCTGGGAGCTTGGGGATAAATAAGCTGCATCATCGCTGGATGGTGTGTCATGCACAGCCAGGTCTGGAATCATGCAACTCTTGCCTACTCGAGACCTTTCATCGTCTCAGGCAATTCCATGGTCGACATGCAATTCCGTTGAAATGGCACTTTTGGACCCGACTTTATGCCCCTTTGCACTTGAACATTCATAGGTCGTGGCATTTTGGTGTGATTCGATGTTCCGCGCACTAGGTAAGCGGATGAGGCGCCATTGCTGCATTGTCCCAATCACCAATCCAGCTGGAGCCATCAGGAGCATGCTGCGGCATCGAGACCACCAGCAGGCAAACTGCCGCCTTAGGTTGCTGTCGTGTTCCCCAGGGCGTTTTGCCAAATTCATCGCAGTAACAGGCAGAGGGGTTGGTCACGGAGACACTGTGAGAAGCACTCTGGGCAGAGCGGCTTCTGACTTCAGACTCCGAGTCGGGGAGTGGGTCTCCGGGTAGGGAGGCGCCCGGAGTCCGACCGTCCCGCCCGTCGCTCCCGGAGACTCGTCAGCGGTCGGGCTTCCACGGAAGCATGACCTCTCACTCGTTGGTCCGGTACCGAAAGCGATGGGACCAATACGAAAGTCCGCTAAGGCCAGCGACGCAGCTCGTGTGGATTCTATTACGCCTCCTCGGCCTGACTGCTCGGCTTTCGGCGATATGATGGAACTGCAGGCGAAAAAGGGCCTCAACAATCGAGGATTTCAATATATCTGCCGTCCTAGTTAATTCGCAGAAACTTGCTTGACCACCAAGTCGCTTGCTCGGCCAAGCTCATGGACCAAAAAAAAAAAAAAAAAAAAGCAAAAGAATCGTCTTCTAGAAAACCGCTTGCCGAACGAGCCCAAGCGACAAGGAGATTCCATGGTGGCGGACACTGGTAGAGTAAAAACCTGTCCTTGATGTGGCGGGGGGCTGAGCCGGACATTGAGTCGTATCGCGGAGTTCGGCGTGCGGGGCCTCTGGGTCGGCCCCAAAGCCCCGTCGGGCACGATCGGGGGCCATTAATCATCTTCTGGTCCAGAGGCAGGTGACTTGAGCGGATTGAGACTGTATCGCCAAGAGAGACCATGAAAGACAATGCGAGCAATCAAGAGGAGCCAAGCGAACGTGCTCCTGTCACAAGAGCGCGTATGAGTGGCGATTTCGATAGCTGTAGCCATGCAGAGAGACGCGTGCGAATGACTGACTGGCTGTTGGGTGACCTGACACTCTTGACTCTGGGGTGAGTTCCTCGGAGGCGTCCATGCCAACAAGCCCAAGCCTTGCACAGCCACGCGGGCCACTGGTTTCGAACTTCTTGTTCGGTACGCAGCACGCTCCGTGACCAATCAAGGCGTCGGACTCGCGGCTCTTCTCAACGCAGAGGGTGGGAGCTAGCGCGGCCAGGCGGCACATGTTGAGCGGAAGAACAATTGTGTTGCTGACGTGCGGGCAGGGTCACGGGAAAGGGTCCCTTGCTTGCAGCTGTCAGGTTATGCGTTACCTTACCTTGGGAGAGACTGGCAGGATATCTGCTCAGCAGTGCAGCGCAGCGCAAGCTCAGGAAGCAGCTGCTTCTTTCGGGGGAGGCCGCAGAAGCGGTGGGTGTCAGCCAGCATCATCAGCTAGACATCGCAAAGACGCCAATTGAGGGAAATCTCTTGAAAATTGAATTGGCATAATGCTGATGCCAAGTAATGCGACGCCTTTGCTGTCCGTGAATTCGAGCTAGGCGGGGGAACTTGCTGAGCAGCTGAGGTCAGAAACAGACCATGCCATCATGGTCATCACGGGCCTCGATGCCCTGGCCGAGGATCTGGTGGGGTATCCTTGCTGGTCCTGACGTTTCGCTTGTTCAGTATTCGGTACGGCTCTGATACTGTAGTTCAGGCTACCTTATGTGAGTGTCCGGCGTTAAGTAGGAGACGCAGCTTGTTTCTCGGCCTCGGGGATCGACAAACGGGACGAGACTCGTTTGACTGACAATGGCGTGGCGGGTGAGTTAAACTCGGACTCGTTTATCAGACGTCAGTGTCGGGAGCGAGATCCAGCGCCATCATCGGTGAAGGACTGAGGACCCCCGACACGCGGTGGGGCGTTTGGCGATACCCCTGCTCCTAGAGATGGAAGAAGACGCAGCTCTGTCGAATGGCTGAAGTGCGAACGCCGGCCTTGAGAGAGGAGTGGTTTCCAAAGAACAGGACGGTTCTAGTGCAGGTTCCCGGGATCCTACCTACAGCAAGAAACCACCTTATTTAGCCGTCCAGTCCAGGGGCCAGTCTCCCGCGCTGCAGGGAAACATGTTGAGGGGTTCGGCGCCATCTGGTCTCCAGTAGAGTAGTAGTAAGCGACCTTACTTTGAAGGAGCTTCGGGTAAGTCGCAGCCAGATTCCCGTGCGGTACCTTAGGCTGTTTGCTGCACTTGGATTTGCAGAACGTAAGCGGGTATCGTCTGTTCGTTCTGCCTTGCAGCGTGCCTTATGTCCGCTCGCGACATCTGAGCATTCTGAATGGATCGAAGACGACAGAGCGCGCGGGATGACCCAGTGTGTTGACCATAACATGCAGCATGATAACTCGTACAACCAGCCACAAGTCTGTTTATTTTTCGCGGGGCCTTGAACCGAGGCCTAGTCGATTGGATATCAGTGACAGGATAGCCGATGCGATGCAGTGTGCGTCGAACAAGAAAGCCTCTGGAGAGAGGCATCATGGTCTTGGCAGCGTACGGCAGATAGAGTGCGTGAGAAGCTGAGCTGACCTCGCTTCATTCCATTACCTACCTACCTACCTCAGGTAAGGTACTCAGCCGAGGGCCGTCGAACAAGGTAGACCGTTGAAGCCCGTGAGAGAAGAGCGGCCCGGCAGGTGCTGCGCGGCGGGCTGTCGGCAAGGATGGAAGGGACGTGCAATTTTTGAGTTCTTCCATCTGGCTCAAGCTGAGCCGTGTCAAAGGCGAGGCCGCGAGGTCGAGGTATTCCATTGTAGAAAGCCGGTATCCATAGTAAGGTCCATTAAAGCAAGTAGGCAAGTAGCCAGTGTCTTGGCGGTGGTTGCTGACGTTTGGCTGAGCCCAAGGCCGCATCCCTCCGTGGGGAAGGGAAAAAAGGAAGTTCGCTTCCTCCGAGAAGGCGCATCCATTACGCAGTCAAGTCAACACGGGGGGGACACATCCAACCAAGCCTCCTCCATCCCACTGCCTGCCCGACCCGATGCTGCCGGCCTCCGTTGCTTGCCATAAACCTCCGTCGGCGCCCTCTTTCATACCTTGCGAATACTCTGCCGTCTGCTTGCTCCTGAAGCGAATAAAGATCATCGTCGCCTTCGTCGTGCGCTAGACCTCTCTCTGCCGGAGCTTCGCTGCCACGCTACCCCCTCAACGCCTTCTAGTGGGGGGACGACCTGAAGATCCTCGCCGTGTTGGAAGCCGTTCCCGCCTCCCACTCGCTCCAGCAACACCAAAGAGGGAGCCAAGACGCCGGGTCTCGTGCAAAACACGACCTGCTATTCGCGCATTCTTTCATCGCCTACAACCACCCCGGCCATTTCTAAATTAGCACAGTCGCTGCTGTGGCGTCACTGCCTGCCATTCACCTGCATTTCCACCTCTAGGCTCTGGCACTTGCTGTGGCCGTCGCTGTGTGTCACTGCTGCCGTCGCTGCCACTTCTTTCATCTTTATTTTATTTTCTTGTATCCTCGGCCTGGACTGGACAGTCTAGTCCGCAAGGGCCGCCACGACGACAGCCCTGACCACGATAGGAATCACACATTTCCACGCGCTGGGTGCTGCTCACCGAGATTGGGGGAACACTGCACTGGAAACAAAACGAAACAAAAAAAAAAAAAGGTGAGTCCTTCTTCACCAAGTGGGCAAGTGACAGGGCCAAGAGGACCCATCCTGTGAGTGGACAGGGTCCCTCCATCCAGGGCGCAAACCGTTCCTTGCGTCACTTGATCAACCTGTGTTGCCGCCTGCCGCACCCTTCCCTGACCCTGCCTTGCCTTGCCTTGCCTCCTCTTCCTCATTGCCTACCGTACTTACACACTTGCACCTGCTAGTCTCGATTTCTCCCAGCTGGCCAAATTTTCCATTTTGCAAAAACATCGCTCCCTACTGCGACACGAGCGTTTGGGACCGCCAGACGAACAAACTCGAGTGCAAAACCAAAGTAATACTTCCAACAGAGACCCCTGTCGATCATAATCAAGCTGGCGTTCTCACGGGAACCCGCGCAAGTCATGGACCTCAATGGGGTCAAGAGGAGGGACACCACCAAAGGACCTCCTCTTCGCATTCTATCTCTAGGTACGTTCACCTTCAGCCACAAAGCTATGCTTCGCCCGCCACGCGATCAGCAGCAGTGCGCGAAATACACTGGGAGGTTCACGTACTGACATGCTTTGCGACAGATGGTGGAGGGGTTCGCGGCTATTCCATGCTCATTATCATCCAAGAGCTTATGCACCGCACATACGTCGAGATTGAAGGAAGAGCACCACACCGAAACGAGATCCCAAAGCCATGCGACCACTTCGACCTTATCGTCGGAACAGGAACTGGCGGCCTCATCGCCCTGATGCTCGGCCGGCTGCGCCTTGACTTGGAGACATGCAAGCAGTTGTACGTGAGGCTTACACGCATGGTGTTTGAGACGGACAAAACCATCGCCGGAATACCCTATCGATCAACACTTTTCAAGGCGTCGAAGCTGGAGGAAGCCATCAGGGAGGCTGTCAGAGAGCACACCGTCTACGAGAAGGAGGGCAACGATGGGACTGAGAGCGACATGATTAGCCCCCTCAACTCGGCCTACTCCAACTCATCTGGTCCTCGAAGACACACCAGCAACGCGAGCACTGTCAGTTTCAGCGCTCGCAGCCCCCAGGCTCAGATGGCCCGCCCCGCCTTCAACTCGCGTTACGGCAATCCCAATGCCAGGCTCTACGATGCTAGAGAAACGAGAACAAAAACGTGAGCCATACCCTTAGTAACAAAATATCCGGTCAAGCGTGCAATGACTGACACACAAGTAGGGCTGTATTAGCGATGTATAGAGGCTCGCGCAAGGGCAGCCCCCCAGCCATTCTGCGATCCTACGATTCGAGAAGAGAGCCCCCGCCCGAGTTCGACTGCAAGATTTGGCAAGCTGGCCGCGCAACGTGCGCCATCGGTCTCGCCTTCAAGCCTATCCAAATCGGGCAATCTGTTTTCCACGACGACGGCGCCGGCACCTTTAACCCCGCCCCGGAAGCCCTGGACGAAGCAGTACTGAATGAGTGGCCTGGCCGCGAGGTAGGCGTATTCGTCAGTGTCGGAACAGGTAGACGACCAAAGGGCAGCGACGCCAATCAGCATGTCTGGTACGAAGGTTTTATGGGAGACTTCGCCGAGGCACGCCGGAAGCTCATTTCTAAGATCGAGGGCTGTGAGGCGATTCACGAGCAAATGAGGAAAGAGCACCTTGCAAAGAGAAACGTCAGCGTCGACAACTACTATCGTCTGAACGTGGAGGTCGGTGTTGGCGAGTTTGGCATGAACGAGTGGCACCGCCTGGCCGACATCAGTACTGGCACACGCCAGTATCTCAGGCGGGAAGTTGAGCAGAGGATGGTGCAGGGCGCGTCTGCGAAGCTGGCCAAAATTCACAAGGCGAACATCCGCTTTAATCGCGCCTTGCCGGATGTGCCCGAACTGGTCAAGTCCACGTCGGAGGCTAGTGAGCCATTTGCGGTAGAGCTGCCAGCCGATATCCCTTCGTCGTGGCCGCCACACAACACACCGCCTAGCCGTCAGTCGTACGAATCTGGAATGGAAAACTTGCATGTCCCTTCGCCCATGAGCCCTTCCCCAAGAAGCTCTGGCGAGAGATTACAAGCACCACAATCCCTCAAGGTTGGGACACCACCTGTTGGGCAGCGGCCATACCCGCCGCCGCCAAGTGCGCACTCGGCGGATGATGACGACGAAGTCGATCGCTTAGTTGTTACGGCGCCTACACCAGCCCAGTACAGATACGCCGCCGGCGCCGACAAGATTGCTATCATGAGCCCAGATGAGCACCCTAGATGGCAGAGCCCGCCGCCTAACGGACATGTGCAGCAGTCGCAACTGCCACGTATCCCTCCGCCGCTACCCCCGAAAACACCACTTCCGGAACATCAAATGGCTGGAGGCCGTCGCCCCAATACCGCCAATCCTCTTCCTTATCCCGTTGACGACGAACCCCCACCAGTGAATATGGCAAGGAAGCCAGACTACCGTGGAAGATAGTCAAAGTTGCTGGTTTCATATACGTCCGAGGCTCTTTCCCCGATCCTTCATGGAACAGCTTTCGATGTCTCCAAATATGAGACAACACAGAAATGGCACGTCAGTGGATACCTCCTCCTGGTGGCTTCAGATTTGATTGGAAAGCGACATGACATGAGGCGTTTTGGGAAGTTGATATCAAGGTCCTGGGATTTTAGTAAAGATACCATTCTAAGCACATGTGATTAGCTCGGGTGCTCAGCCGCGGCACTGATGCTGGTCACCATAATGAGATAATGCTCTTTTTCCCTGCCATTCAAGTTCCGTGTCTTGAATTAGCCCTAGTCTGTGACTCCGTCATCCGAAGGTCTCCCGCATGCCCGCTTCCCGGCCGGGTGGCAAATTTCCGATTATTCGGGTTCTAGTGGGGCACTACGTCACGGCACCGTGAACCTCTCTCTATCCGTACCTGAGGTAGCTTGTTGATCGAACCAGCCATAAGCTTAAACCGCGTATCCCCCGCTGTCCCGGAACTCTCTTCGTGTCCATCATATTTCCGGCCATCTCGTTAATACACTCATGTTTTTGTCCCTCGCCCGCCAACCATGCACCAAATCTTGCTATTTCGTTAAGTTTTGTCCGCTTGGCTACCCCCAACGCTGCGCGCACGATGCCCTTCACGTGGGAACGATGTGATGTTCAAGACATTCAGCTGGCTATCGTGGCATAGCATAGCGTCCCGCCCCCTGACGCCACGAGACAAATTCGAAAGAAAACAAAGTGTCCTCCCTCACCTGACAATGTTTCAGAAGGGCTTTCTAGTTCTGTTCATGTCTTCGAGTCCTAGATAACGAGGGCAACGGGAAGCTACCTCACGAAATTTGCCAACTGGAATGTGCTCTTCTACTAGCGCTGCGAGACAGTATGTGGTCGAACGACATTCTCATGGCACAACTTACGAACTCATTCTCAGGCCTTTCTTATTCTGGCGCCACGACAAGGGCTGACGAACTTGTAGGAAATGAAGGTGCCCACGTTTGAGTCCTGGCGTGCCTTGCGATGGAAGGGCCTCGGCCATCTTGGCCCTGCTGGTTGTTGGAGATGTCGATCAATCTGCGAGCATCTCAAACGCAATGTCGAAAGACTACCATTTTTGCGAGCCTCATTTCTTTTTCGTGTTACTCCGCTTTTCTTTTCATCGGCACTTCAAAATGAGCAAGAGTGCGGCTATCTGCCATCGCAAGTCACTGACAATCTACGGGAGCATTTCCGGTGGAGTAGAGCCAAGCGGCTTGAACGGTGCCTTGTGGTTCATCGTTGTTCATTTTTCAATGGGCATTTATATTGTTTTTTGACATTTGCTCTCAAACAACATACGACGCGGTGTCAGACGGCACTCGCCGATTAGGGCACGTCAGCAGCTCTCGCCTACCTAGCCTGCTTGAGACACGCGTTGTTACCCCCGGATTGTGTGGCACGACGCCAGATCAAGAGATCGACCCGTCGAACCCGATATAGCTCTGTTAAGGAGTGAGAAGCTCGAGATGAGCGCTCCCGTTCTGTCTTGAATAGGCATCGGTCATCTAACGTCGAGAAGCGGTGAGCTTCAGCTGCCATGATCAACAATGCTTTGTGGCTAGCCCCAGCCTGATGGCGTCGCCTCCTGAAAGAACTCTCATAAGCCGGGGGAGAACCAAGTGGTGGAGCGCCGCTTATGGCTGAATCCAAATGCAGCAAAGACGTTGCCTCGAAAAATGAAGCGCTTTCTCGAGACGTGATTTCAACGTGACCCCAACAACCGGTCTTCCAGCCCTCCACCTCATGGAATCACCAAGACGGGACATGAACAGCAAATTCGGCCACAAGCTCCCTTTCTCCGTCACAATAGATGATGCGACTGGCTCTTATACGTTTCAACAACCTGCCATTAGTCCATTCAGGTGCCCCAGCACTAGCGAGCCAGGCTAATGCAGATCGATCAAACCACCCCGGAAGATGCCACTTGTGGCTTTTTCTCAGCCCGGCAAATACGACGCTAAGCCAAACGTGTCAAAATCCGACAAGCTGCATCCAAGCCTCCTTTTCTCACTCGGTGATCATATAGGTGCTGCTTACCTGGGGTGGTTCGCCATGACCCCCTTCGGCATCCCTATAAGTCAGCCTTACGGTCGAAAGACCCTCCCAACGTCATGGAAGCGGTTCCTCAAGGTGGAACAGGAACAGATCCCACATGGTTAGGGGGAAATCGCCGCATTCAGATCATGTCCGAAGGGCTGCAGCATCGGCACTTGCGGGCATCGCGTAACATGCGAGCCGAGAGGACTACAACGTCTTGCGGCGAGTGTAGGAGGCGAAAGCAGAAGGCATGTACACCGCTTAAGCTTCTATTCGTTGTCTGATAGGCCCCCTTCGTCTATTGAGGCCATCAGGACAACTGTTTGTTACGGGACAAGACCGCCCGTCCCCCAATTTCATCCTGTCCAGAAATAAGACGAATCGTAAGACTAACCGTCGACCCAGTGCGATCAACAACAACCGTGTGGCAACTGTCAACGTCGTTTCCCCCAACCAGTATGCGAATATCGCTTGGGAAAGTAAGTGACACATCCCCTCATCAACTGCCTGTTGTTGTCTTGGATGTGGTTTGACACGGCTCGCTCCCAGCCGGATACCTGGAACCTCGACCTTCCCGACCCCAACAAGAGTCGGCGGGCGAGGGGCTACTCGCGATCTTCCTGGCGTTGAGAGTCCCTTGTCTTACGAGCCCTCATCTTCTGGGACGCCGGCACATTTCGAAAGCAGATGGCCTGCAGCTGCCATTCCGGCTGCTCTCAGCGGCTCTGACACAACACCCACGTCAAGCAGTTTCTCATCTGGAAGTATCCGACGACCAGAAATAAAATCAGAACCACAAGACTATGCTAGACCAACCATTTCCACGCGGCTTCAGCTAGTCATCGGTGACTCGGATTACACGCTTGACGTGGACCCCTCACAGGCATCGCAGCAAGTCTTGACGTTTCGTCGCGCGTTTCCCGATTATGTGCTGGGAGCCGAAAATGACGGCAGGAAGGACGAGTGGACTGCCGAAGACGAGGTAATACCTGTCGTATGGGCCCGTTCAGCACAACCAAAGATCCAGAGGTCTATAGGCGACATGGAGGACCAATTCGGGCATCTCCCTGTTGCCCAGACGCCGCTGAACAAGAAGTTACTCAGAATATGTGAGCTCTGCCTCTCCGGAGCATGTGGTCTGTCATCATGAACCTAACATCAGTGGCAATCAACAGACTTTGATGTGCTTTCCCGCTTCAAGGCTTCCCTCACAGGCGATCCGGACCCCAGCAATCCGTTCATCAAGCACTACGCTCCGTTCTGTATCCAAGAACCTTTGGTCGTGCAAACAATCATGTACGCTTCAGCCTGCTACATCCACGAGACTGGGCACCTGCCCAGGACTGCTCTCATGGCCAGCAAAGGGCGTGCCATCCATATGCTCAACCAACGCATTAGTTCCGGGCGGAACTCCGCTGCGGCGAGCAATACCGGCAACGTTGGGGAAACAAGCGGCACGAACGACGCCGCCATCGCGAGCGTAATCCAGCTCGCCGCTGCCGAGTGGTACTGGGGCGATAACAACGAAGACGTCCAGCACCACTTCAAAGGTCTCCGAGACATGATCAGGTTGCGCGGCGGTTTCGACCGTCTCGGGATGAACGGGATCTTGGCAAAAAACGCGATATGGTACGTTGGTTGGGTTTATGACTCTGCTTTGCAGCATATTTGGGGGCTACCTTTCCCATTCTCCTGGGTATCCCGCCGTTCGGTTTATTGTTCGTCTCTATATTTTGCTCTTTCCCGGTCTCTCTTTCGCTCTGATATTTTTACCCGTTCGTCCGTCTGACCCTCTCTCGCTTTTTTTTCGTTTCCTTGACTCGTAAATGGGTCTCGATCCCAAGACACGATATGCCGGCGGACTTTTTCGCTGTCTTGGAACCGCTTTGACTGACTCATTCGTAGTCACGATGTCTCCATAGCCCTCGCACACGAAAACAGCCCACTGTTGCTGCTCCATCCCCAGGAAGACTGCAGCAATGGCAGCGGCGGCGGCGACCCAAGGACCCCGTGGACGGCCGACTACGCCTTCGCCGACCCTATAAAAGACGTGCCCCTTCGCATGACACACTCCGCGCCCTTCGTCTGCAGCCTGTCATCTGTGGGAACGCTGCCGAGCTACGCGGAGTGCTCGCAGTCTCTCGGCATCCACCGGGCGACGGCTTCAATACTCGACAATGTGAGGTTCTTGTTTAAGGCGGTGGAGGCGGCGTACGTGGCGACGAACGAGACGACCGATCCATCGACCGAAACAGCGACAACGACATCGACGACAACGACGAGGGCACCGACGAAGGCGGCATCCAGAAAGGTACAGCTCATGGGGAGGTACATTCACGAACACATTCAAAGCCTGCATCCTACGATACCAGGACACCGGCAATCATCGCCGGGAGTTTCGACGAGAGGGAATTCTCCGGGACTCAATTATTACGCCGGCGCGGATGGAGGATCGACACGGAGCGGGAGCATTTCGAGTATAGGCACAGCAGCCGGACCTAGCTCCGGGGGCCCGGGCCGCTCGCCACCGGAGCCGGGGTACGACTCCACCACCACGCCGGAATGGGCTTCTGCGCCGGACGCTAGCGATTCTCCGACAAGCCCCAAGTCGACGGCAACGGCGCCTCATCATCATCATCGCCAGCAGCAGCAACAGCACAACTCGGACTACATGTACCAGGCTATCAGAGCGACGGCCATCGTGTACAGCCGGGCCATCATGAACCGAACCCCGCTGAGCGTGGCCTGCACGCAGCACGAATTCCTGCAGATATGGGCAACGGTGTGGCGTGTACCCCTGTCGGCGTGGAACAGCTCAGTGGGCACCTTTCACTGGATCATGCTGGCCATTGCGCCAGCGTGCCACACGACACCGCATGGGCGTTTTGTCAAGAACATGCTCATGGTCAGCACTCTTGCGCTCGGGGTGGAGAACTGGGCGGTGGCTATAGGCGCTGCGAAGGCCGGTCTCAAGCTGCAGCACTGGCTGAAAGGCCAAGACGCGGAAACGGAGAGCGAGGAGGGTGCGGAGGAGGACGATGGAGAGGGGCAGGGAGACGGCGGCGGACGAGGAGGAGGGAGGTGGCGCTCCGGGCGCGAAGAGCGGTGAATGGGAGGCGTGTACACGGCCAAGACCTCTTCCTCATTCTTGTGCTTGTGTGTGTCTCTTTCTTCCACGTCCTGTAGGGACACGTCTCTGGGTGTATGCGGATGCGTGTTCGATGGCAGCGAATCATGGATATGGCTGAACGAAACGGACAACGGCCGCAACATGCAGGACAACGAAACTAAACCGACAACGAGACAGACAGAGATTTACGAGGTGGAACAGTCCGCATCCACTCGCGAGCGGGTTACTCTCTACAGCATGACGTTTTTCGGCCTAAGAGCCCTGGACATTCGTCTGCAGCCTATTTCCATTTGGAGGCACTCCTCTGGGATTCCCAGGCATTGCGACTTGCCACGAGGTATTGAAGAAACATACCTACTTGATCTACTTTGCCGGCGGCAAAGCAAAGAGATGCGGTTTGTCCAGGGGCCCGCCAGCTGGCCAATGCAAATGAGGGGAATTCATTGCTGCATGAAGAGTGACATGAGCAAGAACAGCGAAGAATGAACAGGGCAGGGCAGCGGCAAGGTTCAGGGAAGTTTTATTTTATTTTTGTTTTTCTGCATTTCGGGAGGAGGGGGGCGTCACGATGCTATGGTTGCGTTGGAAGGCTGCTCACAACGTCGTCATTTCTCCCCGTTGACCATCCCTACGATCCGACTTCCGAAATTACTCCTGGGGAAGCGCTTGCACCTTCCGCGGGCATAGCGACAGCGTGATAGACGAGGATAGCTGGACTGCAACTGCTGAAGACGTTGCGAAAGAGACGGTGGTTGGAGGAAGACAGCACCAGCAGGGAGGGGAAGGGGTGAGGAGCCGGGGAGGAGGCTGCGTCTGGTCTGTTGTGTTGCTGCGGCTCTGAACTCTAAAGAGTGGGAAATGGTACAAGGCCCCATCCCCCCCTCCCCTTTCTCTCTGCTCTGCGTTTTCGTACCACCCCTGCTGTGGGAGCTCCCCAGAGTTCCAGCGTGCGAGGAAAACCCAGGAGCGGGCGCCAACGGACGAGTTCTTTCCTGACAGTTCAGGCCGATACGACACTGTCCACGTTTTTGACGGCAACATGTAACTCGCCACGGCCGGGATGAGCGACGTTCGGGGCCCCGTGAAACGGGCGAGGAGGCCTGGCTCAGGACAGAACGAAGGGAGGTGTGCACCGCGGGCGTCGTCCGTTCGCCCTGCGGGAGCCACGTGGATGTGCCAGAAGCTGCACTGAAGAACCTAAACTGTTTGACACCGTTTCTGGCTAACAGGTACCGCTCCCACGGGGAGGGTAATGCCGCAGAGGAGCTTGTCGTCCGGTCCGTTTGTGGTCCGGTTGTGGCCATGTGTGTTCAGATTTGTTTGTGGTGGCACTGGTGGATGCATCAACGGTCGTCGGTACGGTGGCTGTTGAGACGGCGGATGAGGGGCTGAGCAAGCAAGTGTCTCCATCTTCGTGTCTGACAATCGTTATGGCCTCATGTCGGAACGGTTGCAAGTGGAGGCGTACCCGTACCCGGATGCCTGCCCGCACGCCCGTCGTCTGCGCCGGTAGCGCACTGCACCTCCCTTCCGGCCGGCCGTTCTACTGGAGGCTCAGCGACGTGCGGATACTCCGCCGGTCCGGCCAGTGGCGTCTCTCATCTCTCAACCGCCCGCAGCAACATGAAAGCTTGATGTCAAAGTTGCAAGGCTTTAAGGTATGGCGGCGTCGATCCCGAATGTCCGCTAGAAAACCTAGCCAGGGAGAACCCGTTCAACTATACAGAGATCCGACGGGATCGGTCTTCCGGCAACGGCTTGGAGGGGTTGAAATGGAAGAAACAGAGATAATAGCAGCATGCAGCTATGCGGTATGGAAGTGCGGTGCCGCAAAGTGGTGTGATGGGCGAGAGTGAGTGTCAAGCACGCAGTGTAGCGTATCGTAGAGCAGGGAATAGCAACACAAGGAAGGACATTTGTGTTCCATGGTATAGGATGGCAGGGATGATAGAGCGCTTGTACTCTACATAGCGACATTTTGCCCGACTCAAATAGCGATGATGAAATGGGTGGTGTTCGTCGAGGCCCAGTCCCGGGCAGTCGAGGATCCCCAGATATGCATTAGAGTTTAGAACCACGTTCCACAGCATGTTTCGAACGAATTCCTTTCCAATCAAAGAACCGAGCTACTACCACGCAGGGCGTCTGCAGCATCTCACATCCTACATCTGCAAAGATGTCAATAGACTTCAGTCAGCTTTGGTTTGTACCTTGCGTGAAAGGCAAGGAACCTACCTTGCTTTGCTACTATGCGGGCTGTGATGGGCGATCAGAATGGCATCTTTCTTGTCGCTCATCCACTGGGCGGGCGTTGAAGAGCGGGCAAGGTCCGTTCGCTTTGAATTTTGGCTTCTGCACTGCAGCTCTGGTTAGCTACCATACCCGCAAAACTCGACAATATGAGATCTGAATGACGATGCCATGCATGCCATGCCAGTGGTATGCTTTTTTGCTTGCAGCAACTGGGCTTGCATTTTACCCGACTCGAGTCTCCAGTTGCCATGAAAGCCATCCATATTATGCCGCAGGTCAAAGGCAAACTGAGTTGAACTCAACTCAACTCGCCTCGTGTCGCATTGGACTGAGCCGTTGTTCCTGGCATCTCCTCGCGAGTCACCCCGACTCATGAAAGACACAAAGGGGCACCTTTCGTTAGTCGTGTCGTCTCCATCTATTGGCCATCACCAAGTCGTTCAACATGTGTTGGATGCCACATCTGACCGGTGCCAGGACTAGTCGGGCTGTTTTCGAGGAGTTTCCGCAGCAAAACCTTCCATGTTTTGGTTTAGCGAACTACTCGGCTCTCATGACTGGAGATGGCCATATTGGGTGTCCGTGGTCGCAGGCAAGTGGTGTGCCGCCGCAAGTGCAAATGTTGCCCTGCGTGTGCTTCCTGTAGATCTCACTTACTTCGAGAACCCGCCCCTCGCCGTTGCGCTTTGACACCCCGACCATGGCCTCTTTTTTGTCCTCTTTCGGTCAAGGTTCTTCTAGACTGGCTTCTAAGACGGTTCCATTCGTTCTATTCGTTCCACCACGACTCTCGCGTCGATGCAAGCTGGAGACTTGTTTTCTTTCATGTGTCTGTCGTGGTCTTGCGTTTTTTTCTCGGTGATCGTCTTCAGATGAGCTCAGTGTGGGACCGGTACTTGAGCGCCGGGACCTGAACAAGTCTCTTAGTGGCGGACGGTACACGTCTCTGGAGTGCGGCTGCGATGCAGTACGTCTTGAAGAATTCAGAGCAATGTTACTGGCCGATAAGACGACACCCCCTCTCGTCTCGTCTCTCGCTCTCCACTCGGCCGGCGGGTTTGGCTCCAACACCGGTGTCGGCCATCGACCGCATGGTCACCGACGCCTTGGCCGCCGGTGCCACTGCTGAGGTTCGGTGCCAGGTGGGTGGTCCTGCTGCTGCCGCTGAAGTCTTGGCCCGTGGAAGAGATAACAGAACATCGGGTGGATTAAGAATTCTGCACCGAATGTCTGTTCGCTCCTTGTCTTGGTCTAGCGTAGCGAACCCCATAGCCCATAGATCCGAGATTGGCATTTCTGGGGCAAGCACTGCGGCTCTCTGACGCAACCGTTCTTCAATGTTAAATGTCGCCGCATTGCAATGAAAATTCGAAGCCAAAGGAAGCAGAGTCGCAGCAACTGCGCAGCGTGCCGACCGCCTGCTCGTTCAAGGCATCCAACTTCATGTATTGCGTCAGTTCGGATGGGCCGTTTGCCGTGCGCCACATGAAGCAGCCACTCAGAGCCATCGATCCGTTGTCTATCGTCTTTTCGCACGTGTAGACCCTCGCAAGCGTGGAAATAAAAACGTGTCGGCCGAAATGCACACTTATCACTGCCCAATCTCGAGCCGTCGTTTGAGGGGATCTCCCCGCGCAGAACCGGCCGGGCTTGCCTCGCCAGAGGCGTTGAAAGTCAATTCTTGGCCATTGAGCGGTCAAGTTGCTGCGTCGCAAGTGCCAATTGGCTCATGTCAGCTATCTCATACTTCACCTCAGGATTTGAGACGAGCTTGTGATGGAGGGGAACCCTTAGATGGAGTTTGGGGAAATGCCGTATACAATGCTAGGGCTTTTCTCGCCGTTTTTCCTCGTCGATATCTTGACCGTCTGAACCTTCGTTCCCTCCTATTCTTCTCAGAAACTCACGAGATTCGCCAGCTACTCATTGGTGCTGAGATAAACACATGCTTCGGTCTGTCTCATCCGTTTCGTGCGACGCTTCACTTGACTCGTGCTCTCGGCCGGTTTGGCGTGTTTCTGGAAAGGCTCGGTTTCTTGGGTATCTGGACAATTGCGAATCAACCTTCGGCTCCGGGGCCTCAACGAATACGACAATAGCCCACAGTCATTGAGTGTCGATCAAATGCCGGACTCGTCGTCCTCCGAGACAATGGCAACAACACCGCCGCTCCCCTCCGAAACCACAGCTCTCCTCCGGAAGCCACCGGGCTCTGCCTCCGATGAACCTTCCCAAATCCGGCAATGGGTGGCCGAGATCTTGCTGCTGGCCAAAGCCGCAGTTCCGGTCATCTTGGCTTATACGCTGCAGAACAGTCTGCAGACTATCAGTGTGCTCATCGTGGGTAGATTAAGTCCAGAGGCTCTCGCGACCGCGGCCTTCAGCTACATGTTCGCTATGGCCACCGCATGGCTCATTGCCCTTGGTGGAACGACCGCGCTCGACACGCTTGCATCTAGTAGTTTTACCGGATCGACCAATAAGCACGATCTGGGCATTCTGCTGCAAAGGGGCATCATTGTCCTGTCGGCATTTTATGCAGTTGTGGCAGTGCTATGGTGGTTTTCCGAGCCAGTCTTCCGGGCGTTGGGTCAAGAGGAGTTCATTTGCGTGCAGAGCTCAAGATTCCTGCGGTGCCTGATCCCTGGCGGACTGGGGTATGTCTGGTTTGAGGCTATGAAGAAGTACTTGCAGGCGCAAGGTGAGTCGGTACCTCATCTCATGGAGAAAAGCGACGGTTTCTGATGTCTGAGTAATAAGAAATCTATCGGCCGGGAACATATGTGCTGTTCATCACGTCGCCGATGAATGCCGGGCTCAACTATCTCTTCATCCACACGCTAGGCCTTGGTTTGTACGGCGCGCCTCTCGCCACGGGCATCTCGTACTGGATCTCTTTCCTGCTTCTCGTGGCGTATGCGGCGTTCGTACGTGGTAAAGAGTGCTGGGGCGGGTTGCAAGTGCGAAAGGCGCTGAAGAACGTAGGACCTTTTGCGAAGCTGGCGATCCTGGGGGTGGTGCACGTGGGAACGGAATGGTGGGCGTTTGAGATCGTGGCGTTGGCAGCGGGAAGGCTGGGTACGATTCCGCTGGCGGCACAGTCAGTCATCATGACGGCGGACCAAATCATCAACACGATCCCGTTCGGGCTCGGGGTTGCAGCGTCGGCTCGACTCGGCAACCTGCTGGGGGCGCAGAAAGCTCGGGATGCAGCGCGGGCAGCACACGCTGCAGCAGTGTTGTCGGTGATACTTGGGACGTTGGTGCTGGTGGTGCTGATGGCGACCAAGGATGTTTTCGGGCGTATTTTCAACGACGACGAGCGAGTAATCCGGCTGGTGGGCGAGGTGATGCCGTTTGTGGCTCTGTTCCAGATCGCCGACGGGCTTAACGGGTCGTGTGGTGGTGCGCTTCGCGGGATGGGACGGCAGTGGGTTGGGGCTGCGGTGAACCTCGTCAGCTACTATGGCGGGGCACTACCGGCCGGGATTTACCTCGCGTTCCACGGCTGGGGACTCGCCGGTCTGTGGATTGGACAGTGCGTTGCCCTGTATCTCGTCGGCGCCCTCGAATGGGTTATTGTTGGATTCAGCAAGTGGGACAAGGAGTGCCAGCGAGCGTTGGATCGCCTTGATGATAGCAGTGACGGAGAAGGCGATGCTCCCGACGACGAGGCCGTCTAGGCAGAAGGTGTTGGTCAGGCATGCATGCGAATTGGATGTACATAGGGACAAATCGATTTGTCTGGGTGGTATTGGTGTTGTTGGTGTTGAACTGCTGGCAGGGTGTTTTTTCCACCGTCTCGAGTAAATAGTTGATTTTGGAATGACCCATGACAAAAGAAGCAATTCCCAAGGATTGGCTGAGAAGTAGAGCAAAAAGCGCGAATAACCTAGATGATTGCTGTGCAATTCGGCGAATTTATGGCGAATATTCACAACGTTTGCTAAAGAGTGAGATGTTGCTATCCAGCCAAGCAACCAACATACTGAGGTGGGTAGGTGGATGCCTGCGTGCCTTCCTCTCAGTCTGGGCATCCCAACTGCTAAACCTTCCCAGAGCAGTCTAGACTCCTCCGAGCTCCTGCGGGGCAGTTGTGTCACTGAACACCAGTTGCGCCTGAACCCCGCCATCAACCCCACTATCACCGCAGTGCTCTCCAGGCATTGGAGGGGACTGACGATGATGGCATTTATCCAACAGTTCAAGCCACGGTAATGGAGACGAAGAGAGGCCCTTTCCATCCTTGTGCATCAGCCTAAATAAACAGGAAGCATATCGCGACTAAGACAAGTCCAATTTCTCCTCTTTTCACGCATTGCCCAAACATTTCCGTCTCGTCCACCACCAACTTCAAGCAAAGCAGACGTCTTCCCCTCCGAATACCTGCACCATCGCGTCAAACTCGTCATCATGGCACCTATTGGAATTGCGATTGTTGGGGGTGGGATTTTCGCCAAGGAACAGCATTTGGTGAGTGGTCCAACGAGACTCTGGGCCTATCTTGCCCGAAGAACCTTGCTCACTGACCTTACCAACAGCCCGCTGTGGAGGCGAGCGACCAACTGGAACTCAAGGCCATCTATTCGAGGTCTCTCAAGTCGGCCAAGGACACAGCAAGCCTGGCCAACAAGTCTGGAGCTGCGCCCGACCTGTACTCAGACGACTCGGGTGCTGGCAAGTCCTTCAAGGACCTCCTTGCCCGCGACGACATCAAGGCTGTCATCTTGGCCTTGCCCATCCCGAACCAGCCTGAGTACATTGAGCAGGCCTTGGCCGCTGGGAAGCATGTTCTTGCTGAAAAGCCCATCGCCGCCGACGTCGCTCGTGCCCAGAAGCTAATCGAGTACTACAAGAAAGTGTCTGCCGAGAACGGCGTTACCTTCGCCATCGCCGAAAACTATCGTTTCCAGCCGCGCTTCACCACTGCACGGGACGAGGTGCAGAAACTAGGCAAAGTTATTGGCTTCAATGCCAGAGTCTTCTTCTTCGTCAAGCTAGGCGGTAAGTACATTGAGACAGCATGGCGCAAGAAGCCTGATTACCAAGGTGGTTTCCTTCTGGACGGTGGCGTCCACTTCGCTGCCACCGTGCGTCTACTTCTCGGTACTGAGGCCGCCCCGGAGTCGGTCGCCGCATTCTCGGACTTGACCCGGCCGCACCTTCCGCCCATTGACACCATCAACGCCGTCATCAAGACTCGCTCAGGCGCCACCGGGTCTTTCGCCGTCAGTGTCGGCTCTTCACTCAGCGCCTTTGACTTCGAAGTGGCGTGTGAGAATGGCAGTGTCACAGTCTCTGGCCACGAGCTTATTGTCAAGCCCTTGGATGGCGAAGCACGGACAACCCAGTTTGAGCAAACGACAGGTGTGAAGGAGGAGGTCAAGGCATGGGCCGAGGCCCTGGTCTCGGGCAAGCCGAACCCGCTGCAGTCGACCGACGAGGCGCTGGCGGACCTGGAGTTCCTGGAGAAGATATTTAAGAGTGGTGAACAGGACGGAACGCGTTTGAAGTTGGAATTGCAGCTGTGAGAGGGGCCTAGCTAAGGCAGGTGGTGTGCGGGTGAGATAAGCTCTGTACGTTTGTGGGTGGGTGATAGAGTTCAATTTAGAGCTTGTTTTCCTTGGTTTCCACCACGAGAATTCGCTCCAAGCCTCTCCGCATTTCATCACTCATTCCAGATGCGGTTGGCCGGCCGGTAGATCTCTGGACAAAGACATGGACAAATTCTCCGACGGCTCTCACCTCATCCACGCCTTTCTCAAATACGGCGATTTCATAAGTCACGCTTGATTTGCCCAGCTTTTTGACCCGAAGAGCTACTTCCGCAACCGCGGGGAAAGAGATGGACGCAAAGTAATCACTGTGTGAGTGTACCACGAGGCCGTGCTGCTCGGAGCCTGAGGGCGACAGGCCGCAATGCTCAATCAGGTATGTGTTGACGACGGAATCGTATCTGCAGCCTTTAGCTAGTGCGCCTCAAGGACACAAGTGTGTTGGGTTCGGAGCCATACAAGAAGTTGTAAATGCTGTTGTTCATGTGTTGATACATGTCATTATCGGCCCTAGGAAACCTTGTTATTGACTGCCCAGGCAGTGAGAATGATACTACTGCATTGTGTGAGGGATGAGATGTGACGATGGAAGGATGAGACGCTTTGGTCCGGAGATATGGCGACGCGGCAGAGCGATGGTTCGTCGCAGTGGCGCCGGCGCCGGGGAACCTTTGCGAGGGACAGGCTCCCTCCATCCATGCCCACCAACTGGCTTGATGTCGGCAGAGAGGAGGACGAATGATGTGGAGAGAAGCAGCAGCGCCAGGCACGACAATCACTGCAAGGAAGGAACAAACTCACCACCGTGTTCGATAGTCCAAAATATAGCGGTAATCCTCCCTTCGACGCCCCTTTAGCTTCTCGAAGCTGGCCATGTTTGGCTGCCTGGTGGGACGGGAACGAGGAGATGGGTGCCCGGAGCTTGAGCTTTACGCAGTAAGACAAGGTAGGTAGATGGGCGGGTATTGCTTGCCCGAGAGATGTGAGATGGAGGTCTTCAGGGCTGACGACGGAAGATGTGCCGGCCGTGAGGTAAGCGATGAAGTTTGCACCGGCTTAAATTGTGTAGCTTTGGTGACCATTGAGTTAAGGCCAAACGTGTTCGTTTTTGAGCCTTGAAGGAGGGGGAGCTCTCGTGGCTCTAAACTAATGTGTGCGGAGAAGCTGTCCGAGGATCTAGAATCGATCTCACTTCATACCGAGGCAGGCTTGCAATGGCCGGTTGAATGCCACACTGCCCACACGAGGGCTAATTAGCACTGTTGGTTACATCGGCGGGCGGGCGGCGGCGGCGGCGACCAAGCCCATCTACATTGATTACATAAACAGACACTGTCTCAAGCTTGACCTGGTGTCTGGCCAATCCCGCTGTTGCCGACCCTCAAAGTGCAGAGGAGGATGAGAAAGAAAAAAAAAAAAAAGTACAGCAAAGTTCTGCCACGTCTGACCGCCAGCAATTTTGTGACTCTTCTTAGATACATCTGGTCAACGCACACAGAGCGAAGTATGCCTTCGGGATTCCGCGAGCTGTGCGGGGAGAACTAACAACAAGTTCTTTCTTTTCAAAGCTCGACATTCCTCGCCAACCAGTCGCCGACAGTTTCGAGGAAAAAAGACACACACCCTTCTCGCTCATACGCCCGCCACTCCGCACCCTGCTGCATCTCCTCCTGGCAGTTGACCTTCCCCGGCCTATCAACCCTGGCTACCATCAGGCAGTTTGTCTTTGTGCCCTTGGCGAGGCTATCTTCTCGACTGGGCTTCTTCTCTCCTTCTATGGCTTCCCAGCAGACGCAGGAGGAAGCGGCGGCGGCGGCGCCATCTGCAGCTCCCGTCGCTGTCCCTGCTGCCACCACCACTGCTATTGTCGTCCAGCCCCCAAAACCCAAGCCGGCTAAAGCTCCAGAGGCAGACGAGTTGCCTGATGTGATCACAACTCCTGTTGGCGACATGTGGCCGCGGCCCTACTTCTTTGAAGGCGGCTTTCGCCGAGTTGCTCCTTATCACTTCACCTACCGCACCAACGCCAAGCAACGTTGGCGTGGCCGGAAGCTAATCGACATTTACGAAGATGAATTCAGAGACCGCACGGTAGAGTACTATCGTTGGGCAATGGAGACCGGGCGAATTGTCGTCAATGGAAAAGCTGTCGGCCCGGATCACTTGGTTAAGAACGGCGACGTGGTGAACCACACCATTCATCGTCATGAACCCCCTGTCACAGCTGAGCCAATCCGTGTTATTCACGAAGATGATGACATGATTGTTGTCAACAAACCCTCTGGCGTGCCGGTGCACCCTGCTGGAAGGTACATGTACAACTCGCTCATCGAGATCATGAAGTCTGAGAGAGGCGAGCACTTTGTACCTTACCCGTGCCATCGCCTAGACCGCCTCACCAGTGGCCTCATGTTCATCGGGAAAAACCAGCCCGCTGCCGTCCGACTCTCCGACCAGATTGTAGCCCGCACGGTACGCAAGGAATACCTGGCACGTGTAATTGGAAAGTTTCCCGATGGCGACGTTGTCTGCGACCAGCCTGTCCTTCAGATATCCCCGAGACTTGGACTCAACAGAGTTCGTGCCAATGGCAAGTCGGCACGGACCGTCTTCAAGCGTCTTGCATACTACTCGCCCGAAAACCCAAGTGCTACGACGACCACCGAGGATCGACCAAAAACGCCGGAAGAGCTCGAGGCAGAAAGGCATCGACCTTGGCTCAACAAGGAAGGCTATTCAATCGTTCGTTGTCTGCCACTGACAGGCAGGACACACCAGATCCGTGTGCACCTCCAACATCTGGGGCATCCAATCCAGAATGACCCTCTATACGCCAATCAGCGCGTCTGGGGCATCAATCTTGGACAGAACGACAGTGAAGCACTCGAGAACACTGACGAGGACATCATGGCGCGGCTGGAGAGGATGGGAAAGCAAGACGTAGCGGACGCAGTGGCCTATCACGATGAAATGGTGGACCTGTACCAAAAGCGAAGGGCGGAAAAGCTGTCGGGCAAGCTCTGCGAGATCTGCGACACTCCTCTGTACACCGACCCGGGCCAGCACGAGCTGTCCTTGTGGCTTCACAGTCTCCGGTACGAGGACGCCGGAGGAGCATGGAGCTATGTCAGCCCGATGCCGGACTGGGCCCTTCCTCCGGAGGGCACCAGCGGGCCTACGGAGGTCGGAGGAGTGGAGGAATTGGTGGAGGTGGTCAAAGATGAGCCTGAAATATGCTGAGCAATATGCTGCGATGTGCGATTTGCGGTTGCAGCTTTCCATGGCACGAACTCTCTGCGGGACCGGACGGACCGATTGACCCCACCGAAATCTTGCATATGATTGACTTTGGACGGCGTGATCATGGAATTGATGGAAATACCCTGTGACTTTGAGTGGGATAGTCATTGAGAAATTGCGACATTCTTTGGTTCTTGCTGTACGATTGCGCGACTACCTACATGAGTTTATGCGCCGCTGGCTGGATACAAAGAGGTGGTCGTAGATACTTGTCTGATAGACTTACGTGCGTCTCGATAGAAATCGATGTTGTACAGACATTCCGCAACTAAGGTACGGAAGTTCCGCACCACGGAATGGCCGCCTGGTGCCCCAGTCTGCAGCGCCGAAGGATTCGTCTGGCAAGGGTGATTGGACTGCCCGTGAATGGGATCTGCCGCGGCGCCGACACCTCCGCTGACCGTAGGCTCGGAGATGCCAAGAAGCGGACCCTGTTCACCTTTATCTTTTCTTTTTTCACTGTTTGTTTTTTGACCCCTTCCTTTTCCCTCCTCCCCCCATCTTCTCGGAGCGAGATCCGCAATGGCTGAGCAGACTGTTCATTGGTTAGTTGGTGAGAGAAAAGCGGCCATCGTTGGGCTGCTAGCGCCGTTCCTGAAGATGGAGACCCGAACCAGAAAAAAGACATGGAAGTATTTTGCAGGCAACGGTACCTTGGAGAGGTACTTTTGCTCGTCGGCAGACTGCCGTCTCCCACAATCCATCCACTGGCCCTGAGGGACCCGACCCGACCTGAGCTGAGCTGACCGCTCCTCGTTCTCCTCCTCCGTTCTCAGCTGCACCTGGCCTGGCACCCCCCACCATCTGTCCGTCCCCCCATCCTCCCCCCCCCTCTCTAAAACTCGAGATGCCCGGCAGAGACCTGGCATTGCGCCGGACCATGCAGCAGGCCCTGCTGGTGCCCCGAAGGTATGGGGCCTTGCCGTCCAGTCCCTCTTGGAGTCCCTGAACTTGAGGGGAACAATAGAGGAGGAAACGAAACATACAAAGACCAGCTTTCTGAGTCAGAAATGACAAAACAGAAATCCAAATGGGATAATGCGCCGAAGGCACGGCATCCAACGGGGGGGTACATAACCCCGGACCGGCAGTGCTCAGCCCTCCCCGAAATAACTAAAATGCTCGCTGATTCCGGATGCCCTCTTTGTCGACGCCTTTCGCAGCTCATCGCCGTGGCCGAAACCCTCGTCTTCCATCCAGAATGAACGCCTTATGACATAGCTCAAACCGATCGCCATCCCTGACAATATGTGTGCATCCACGGGGACCCGGGACGATGCGCATCGTACGACCAGAGCGTCGGTACGGATATTCACGATTACGATTACCTTCTGGATCATCCGCCGTGCCGTGGGGGAGACGACCAACAAGCGAACGAGGGACGGGAGCGACAAACAAATCGAGACAAGATTGGATTGGGCCGACCAGCCGATGCTTTATCCCCGCGTGATTGGAGACGGCGACACCCACTGACAGCTGGGAACACTCGCCAGGCACCGTGGTGCCTGGATACTAACACGAAGGAAGCGCAGATCGGAAATGCAAAAACCTCGACGCAGCCCAAATATTCTTGACGTTGGACAAATTTACCGTGCCGCAGAGAGGGCGAAAGGGAGAGCGAGACACGAGCAGGGAGAAGGAGGGCGGCCCCGAACGCCACAATCCCGCCAGTTTGGAAGCGCAGTGAATCACTCTCAGCTCGGCCAAATGCCTGCCTCCTTTTCGCCTCGCCGCCGCTGCCATCGTCGTCGTCGTCGTCGCCTTATTGCCTCCTACACGCGGCTTCGAACATCCCCGAAGAGAACTTGACCCAAAGCCGTGACACCCCCAAGACGATGCCAGGCCGAATATGCAGGCGCCCGATGCAATGCAGAACGCACGGAAGCCATGGAACTTCGAGAAGCCCGCCACGTTGTCAGAGAACTGCCGGCGCACTGTCATCCATCACCTGTGCACGCCTCACCTCAGCCCAAAACGCCCAATCTCGAGGGAAACAGATGCCAAAAAAAAAAAAAGGCCAGGAGGAGGGTAAAAAACAAGGGACGGAGGCGACATGGCACACGTGTGAAATTCGGCTCACTGCTAGTGTTGACAGCGGCGATCTCACTCTTCCCGCACTGCGCTTCGTTGCCGGGACAGGCATTCGAACACCATCTTGCTTGCATGCTCACCAAACAGGCACCTGCTTCCTTCAACCGAGCGAATGTTTCTGCGAGCGGCAGACCGCCCTCAAGAAATGACAGCTCGGGCAGAAGGACCTCCCGTGAAGCTGAAGTGAGACACGCCGCGGCCTGTGAACACTGCGGCAGCATTTAGACTCTCGGTCGGCGATCAAGGAGCCAACAGCTAATTACAACCCGCCTACCTGTCGACCGCAGATTTTGCCAAGTGTACGTTTACTTACAGCGGAAGAAGAGGGTGGGAGGCGGCACCAGACAGATAGGGCTAAGGGCGATGCATACCACCCGCCATGAACAAGCATTCCGACGGGCGGAAAAAGCAATCGGAGGGGGGAGAGAGAAAATGACATCGGCAGTTCAGCGGGCGGCTTCACATAGGATTGGACAATCGGAACCAGGTCCGACCATTAGCACGAACTTGACGCCATTCGGCCACACTGACGGCACTATACTCTGGTCCTCATGCTCATCGCCATTCAAGACAGCTCATTGAGTGTCTTGGTAGGCTTTGAAAATTTGCACGCTTTACGTACAACGGATTCCGAGGCTGCCGTTGAGTAGCCCGATTCGCAATGGATTGAAGTAGCGATTACTGAACGATGATGGGCTGGGGAGGTTGGAGACCGGTCGCGAACTCTAGGCCAGACGTGGTTTGGAATGATAGCTCGGGGGTTCTAGGTGCGAAGACGGAGGCTCGGCCGTTGATGATGAATTGTCATCGCGGCGATGGAGGGAGCGGTAAGTTGTTCCTGGCAATGGCTCCGGTACTGGGCTCGTCGATTGGCATTTCCAATGTTTCTGGCGAGCGGCTAGAAGGCGTCTTGGTGGTTAGCCCGGCCGAGCATGCCATGGCATTGAAACCGCCGCGGCCGCCGTCGATTTCTCCAAGTGTCCCCTGTTGAGATGCTAGAAGGCCTCAGAAGGAAACGACGTACGCAGAGGCTTCCTACTACTCGATAGCCCCCCCTCCCCAGCCGTTCCTTCTTGTTGTCCTTGCATGCCTCGTTATGTCGACCGATGTGGTTGATGAGCTAAGGGCCCTTTGGGTAGGGTTCCCGAGAAGTCTAGTCAGCGGCGTACCGGCGGCGGCAGCGGAAATGTTCCACGTTGGCTTGCGACCGGTCTGACTATGGTTTAATCGGTGCATTTTATTCCATGACACCACCTTCCTTTGAGGCGGCGACGAGGGGGCTTTGCGTTCTCACACCACATGGCCAGAAGAACAATCATCCAGCTAATGTCGAGGATGCGGAACAAATGAATTGAGTCGGAGGAGGGCAGTTGAAGCGTGCCCTGCGTGTCTCTCACCCACACCCCCATCCGACACAGCAGGAGGGTGGTGGTGGGTGTACTGAGGTGCACAGTACCTAAGGTAAGGTAGGTAAGGTAAGGTGAGGGAGGGTAGAGCGTTCGTAAGGTGGACTTAGGTAGAGTGAGGCCAGGCACGCTAAGTTCCAGTTCCACAGCACCAGTCGGGCTGGCCGCCGCCGGAGCAGCAGGTGGGAGCAGGTTTCCGTACAGGGGGGGGCTAGGAAGATAGTTCACGGCAGTCGGGTACGTACCGTAAGGGAAAGATCCCAGAAGAGCTTACCTCCACTACCTACCTAGCTCTGCGCGCCTCCATCACCTCACCTCACCTCACCTCACCTCACTTCACAGGCTTACAATGTCGAGCGGCCCAGTGGTTCAGCGACGGCGGACAGTGTGCTGCCGCTGCTGTGTGTGTACCGCGTATGTGTGTGTGGTGTGCCCAGCGTCCCCTGGCCGATACACGACCACTTTTTTTGCTGCTGGGCCGCGTATCGGCACCCACGACACTATGCCTCATTGGGCACTAGCGTAAAGTTTATTTTGCAGCGGAAAGACGTACTGCCCTGGGCTTCTCCACCTTTTCCCACCTCCCCCAAGGGAAGGGCCCAATCGTCTTCACCTCACTTGCGCTCCCCTCAACCAATTTTCTCCTCCAAGTCCTTCAACTTGGTGTGTGTGGGTGTGTGTATGTGCGCGCGAGCGTTCGTATCTCTGAGCATCTCTTGCGAGAAATTGGGTGCGCAAGAGAGAGAGAGAGAGTGAGTGAGAGAGAGAGAGGGGAGAGAGAGAGACGACCACATGGAAACCCCGAAAGTCTCTCTCTCTTGTTCCTGCACCGCGCATTCATCCCGCACGCCCGCCCGCACATGCGCATGCGCTGATGCCGATGTGTGTTTACAGCGGAAAGCCGCCCTCCTCGTGGCGTCCCGCCTGCGCTTGAATGGCTCAATCAATCGACAAGGGCGACACAATGGCCATTTCGTCATATTCCTGACGTCCCCGGTCATCGGAGGGTGTCCGAACATGCAGCTGCGAATGCAGTGCAGCAGGAAGCGCAGCTCAGCGCGGTGCCGTGCCGCGCTGAGAGCCAGAGCCAGAACCAGAACCAGGACCAGAAGCTGGAGCTGGAGCTGGACTGGAGCTCTGCCGATGAGCCATCCAGATTGAGGTTTTGCTGGGGGGAAGAAGCTACGCCTCATGCACCACCACAGCACAGCATCGCATGCCGCTCGCTACCAGACCATCTTCAGAGGTCCACGTAGAACAACAGACCGGCCCTCCGGCACCGTCATAACCACACCACAACTTGGACATGGTCTTTTTCCGCTCCGCAATCCGCATCCCGCAACCCTCGATGCAATACGGAGAGCATTTCACGGGGCATCGCCCTACCACCTCGTCTGGTCTGGGCGTTCCATGGGCGCGCAACGAGCCAGGAGCCCATGGGACTTTGGCACACAGGCCACCGTCATGGGTGTGGCTATTCCGAGCAAAAACCGGACCGCGCGCCCCCTGGTCTGGTCCAAGTCTCTCTGCTCTGTGCTCCGTTCCCAATTGCATTCCGTCAGATATGGTGGACGGAGGTGGGCTTTGGCCAATGTCCCAGCGATGGACGGTGGTGGGTATTCGCAGCCCCGACTCCTGGCCGGGAGGTTTTAGAGCTGGTGCTGGCTGGTGCTGTCTTGTCTGTCCATCCATCTCCTCTTCTTCAACAACTGCTCGTCCGTCCTCATCTCTCGTACACGCCCATGGATAAGGCGGGCATGGCATGGGAAGGCAAGGCAGGGTAATGCGAGGCCAGACCAGGCCACTCCAGGTCAAGCGCGGGAGCAGAGGAGTCGACGTTTGATTTGGTGGTGCGGTGCCTGCTGTTAGTTACACCGTACTTTTCAACGGACCACCACCAGACACGGCAAGGCGAGGCAGGCTACCCAGAGAGGCAAGGCCAGGCAAGGCAAAGCAGGCCAGGGCAGCTGGGTACCTTTTCCTGTGGAACAAACCTTGCTTTGCCTTGCCTTTTTGCCTTACGGTTTACGATACAGAGTACCTTACCAACCAGGAGCCGGTTTCCCTTGTCTTCACCATGCTCTTTTGCAACTCTGTTCCAACCCTCTTCGCATTCTCCTCGTCACTTTTCCTAGCCCATCCACTTTGGATTTGGGGTGAAGAGCGGGCATCTCGCGGATAAGCCACCCCACCGGTCGCTCATCTTCCAACTCGGACTCGAACAAGCACAAGGCCACATTCATGGGATAGGCCAGGCCGCGCCCACCCACCTACAGTACCACTGAGCTGTACGATAGCATCATCGAGCTCACTTATACGTGACAACAACGGCAAAAACGCCCGCAGCCTTCTTGTTTTGCTGTTGCGTGTTGCAGGCCTCAGTCCCATCTGAGCTTAAGCTCAGGGTCAGTCGGGTTCAGGTTCAGTCTCACAATATCCGTCTCTCTCTCTCTCTCTCTCTCTCTCGCGCGCGCGCGCGAATCGAACCGAACTCGAAGTCCAGACTGATAGCTTACGCGCTACGATGCAATGCGATGGCAGAACGTGATGTCCCATCTCGTTGTCGTTACATAAGACCATTTTCATAATTTTCTTACGCCCTCCATCTCTCACTTGTTCTTGCGCTCTCTCTCTCTTTCTTCCGATTCCCATGCCTTCCTTACCTTGGGTATGCCTTAGTGGACGCAATACCTCACTCTCGCATCTCTTGCATTCTCACGCCCTATCTCACGCCACGCCCCCCTACCCCCCTCTCTCCCCGAGTCCACTTCCAGACCTCACACCCATCTCTAAGTTTCTCGGGTACGTACTGAGTACGTATCATCTGCGCCATTGCACCCCTGGCTTCGACGTCTTTGCCTGTCCTGGGAGTGCAGGGGACATGGCCCCCCTGACTGTCTTGTCCCCTTCTGTACAGACCCCTGTGCCCCCATCAAACCCCAGCTCATCCTAGATAGATCTGTAGGGTGTTCTCGAAGTGGGTTAGCAATTTGCGCCATGTCTGTGCCTAACATCAACTGTCATGTGCCAAGTTGCGTCTCTTCACCGATACTTGCCCCATCTCGCAGCCAAAAGTACTCGAGTACCGGTGTACTTGCTCTCATTTTCTCTGGCGGTACCGTGCCTAGCTGCCCTACCCTACCTTACCTTAGGACTGGGCTGCTTTAGCCCGGATGCAGCAATCCCCTCGAACCCCTGCTGCAGACCAACCTACCTTGCCTAGCACACCTCTCTCTCTCTCTCTCACTCTCTGTTTCTCCGTCTCTATCTCTTTCTGTGGCCCTCACGCAGTATGTACACACTCTACCTAGGTACCTGGTCCCTAGTAGACGCTCCTCCTCAGCACCAGCAGCCCTTCCCACCCCCCATGTCCCTTCTCCCATGTACGTACCCCTCGTACTCTACTTACCCATCGCTCCCAGCTGCCCTGAAACCTTTGCCGGCGGCACTGGGGGCCCTGTTGTTGCGTCTGCTCTCTGTCGTCAACAGATCTTATAACTCAGATGCTGCTGCCATTTGATCCTCTGCGTTTGATCCCTGCCTCGCAACGCGAACAACTCACAACACTTCAACGCTCTCTCCTCTTCATATCTTCCAGAGTATGGCCCATACTGCCGTCGCCAACACTCGAGCAACACCTGTCACCACCACCGTTGTTACACAACACGACGACAAATCCCCCGCCGACATGACGCGATCAGCTTCCGCAGAGCCTTCGAAGCCGGCCAAGCGCAAGGGTACGCAATATCAACCGTCACCAACATCGCCGGCGACCTTGACATAGACGCACTTGTCTTGTGCTTCTGTCCATGACAATGCGCATCTGCCGTCGTGGTTGCCGCCGCCGCCCTCCTCCCTCTCTCTCACTCTCCCGCACTTGCACCACTCTTCCTCCCTTCCCTCGGCGGGCCTTGCTTTCCTTCAATATCAAGAACCAACATGTTAACTTGACGTTCGTCACCCACAGGCACCAGAAGCGTCTCTACCTTGACGCCGTCTCAGCTGGCGCGCAAGCGTGCCAACGACAGAGAAGCTCAGCGGGCCATCAGAGCCAGGACAAAGGAGCACATCGAGAGACTCGAGCGAGAGCTTGAGGAACTCAAGAGCGAACGCAACCGCGACCAAAGCCAGACCGTTCAGGAGCTCTTGCGCAAGAACAAGGCCCTTGAAGAGGAACTGTTCAAGCTCCGTGAGAGCGTGGGCATTCCTAATGGGCAGTCCTACCCAAACTCAGGTACGGCTGCCGCAGCTGCCTCGTCCTCTGCGTGGGTGTCTCTTGTTCGTGCTGACTCGGCTCCAGTATACGACGACAACCTCAGTTCTATCAGCGGGGCTGTCCCGAGTCCCAGATCTTCACCATTCCCATCAAACGGTGATTACAACGTGATGCAAGAACTCGGCCCCTCGTATGTGCCCATGCCGGATGCGTCAGAGTCATGGGGCCCAGGCATTCCCGTTTCCGTTCCCTCGACCGTTTCTAGTCCGTCATCATCGGCCAACACGGACGAGTACGGCGCAGGCTACATCCCCACGAGTGTCCCCGCGCCGATGATGGACGCCCGTAGCATCCCGTCCAAGATGGAGTACGACGACGTCGACTCTGGTGGGTGTTCTTCCCGCATGCGGTGGTTGGGTCAACGCAATTCTGAGACGCTAACCACTCAGTTTCTAGACGCTGGCTACCCGCACAACCATCATCCCATGGGCCACCAACACGTTCCCATGGCTCATCATCATCAGTCATACCTCCCTCACCAGCAGTCGTGGAATTCGTATCCAACCCCGGTGTACTACCAACAACCGTCGGCCCATTGATCCGCCAGCCAGGCACCACACTCTGGGAGATTCCGACACTCATCGTCCCGCCCACTTGTCGAATCGACCAGCTGTTGGTTGGCTTCATCCAGGATTGCCGCCGACTGTCCCAGCTCAAACCCCTTGACTCGCTCCTCCGGCCTGCCAGGGTCAACATGAAGAATTTCCTCGAATACCATCCTGCTTCACCTACCAACTCACCCCCACGATGCCAGCTAGCCGACCTCGACCGTGCCGCTTCCAACTCTGCCGCGGCTTCCGGTGCCAACCATCCCATGGCCGAGCTCATTACCGCCCTCGTCAATAAGGCCGGCGTGACCAACGTCATTGAACGCCTCGCCGTCTTTGCGGTCATCCAGCGGGCTGTTGCTTGGCTGGTGCATCCGACGCGTGAGGCATACATGGCCATGGTACAAGAACTCACGCCCAAGCCGATTCAGACGGCCATCCCGCACCCGCAGTGGGTTGACCTAATCCTCTGGGCCCCCCTACGCACTGCCATCATCGAGCGGCAGGATGCATACGCCAACGAAGAATTTCAGGCCGTTTACTCGTCTAGTCTGAGGCTCATCAACTGGCCGTGCCGACCAATCGATGCCCTTGTCGTCGACCCACAGTCTGGAGAGATGTGGCTGAGCGACACCTTCACAGCCCACGCCATGCGCGTCGAAAACTGGCGTCTCAATGAGAACTTCGTCAGACGCTACCCTGAACTCCGTGGCTGCGTTGCCGTCGAAGGGTCATAGACAAGGGCGGTCTTGGCGTTGCCCTGGTCATGGCACTACTACATCTACCTGTTCATACTTCCTCTTCCACCCCCGTCAAACTTCTTGCTTCGTTTCTTGGCTCTCTTCGTTCTGATATCCACCTTGTTGCGGAGTCTCATTTTCAGCTGGAATGGGATGGGACACACTTTTTGCCGGAATGGTCTTTGTAGTAGATAAAAAAAAACACAACGGGTTGGTTCATTGTCGAGGCATTTCAAGGCGGCTGGGGAGCACGTCTGATTGGCTGGTTCTGTTTCTTCTCTTCACACGACTTCTTTTACACAAAAAATACTGGTGTCAGGGGCTCAGGTTGGAGGACTCTTGCGATGCAAGTTCTTGTTTCTTTTCTTGTTTCGAACTTTGACGATTTTGCTTGTTCGTTGGTTTTTTTACCCCCGGGAAATTAGGAGAAAGATGGCGCTTTACAGGATTTGGGAGGGTTTTTTTTTTTTTTTTTTTTTTTTCTCGACATTGTCGTCATCGCAACGGGATATATCACAACCATTGGGCGGAACTAGACTTTGGGGAGGGGGCGAAAGTTTTACACACATTCTGGGCAGGGATTATAAGAATGTGATCATTGATTTTATTTTATTTTTTCTGATGTTTAACCATAGTCAGTGGATTAGGAAAACTCACCTTGCCACGAGATACGTATAAAAAATTACACAATGAGCAAAGACAAAAGTTGTTTTTTTCCCATCTGCCTATCCTACCTTCAGTTGGCTCAAGGTTCAAAATTCAATCTGGTCCCGCTACGGTGGACGTGGTAATGATGACTACATGAGTTGACGGGTGCAGTCGAGAGAGAGTATGTGACACCAGAGGGTGGGTGGGCAATGGTGAGAGAGAGCGAAGAAGATGACAACATGGGACCGCCGATCGGTCAAGACATGCTGTCACGCACCCAGGAAGGGGGGTAATTGAGAGAGGACTTGGGAGAGACCAAGACAACTTTGGCTCGATGATTTTCCTGTTACCAACCAACCTCAGACGAACACCCACCCACACATCCATCATCGTACATTGAGTTTTTATGAAGTCGGGTTTAGTTGACGAACCGATCCAGCCGAGAAATGTGCCCCGGTCCCTTCACTTTGGGGACCCTCCATGACATAGGTTACAAGACTTTCACAAGACCCCTTCTTACATGGGTACAGACACACATAGAGGGAGGCAAGAGACGGACGGGAAGTGCCTTTTCTGGGCCTGGGACCAATCAGAAGAGCTAGATTTGGTTTACTTCATCGTCCGTAGGCAGAGGGGGGGACAGAGAGAGAGAGAGAGAGAGAAAGATAGAGCTAGGGGGGAGGGAATGTGAGAGTGTGAGAGAAAGGTAAAAGAACCTGGTACACTCGGGTCGCACACAGCCTTGGCTTGGCGAACAGCAACACCAGACGAGAGAAGGGACCAGCATAGCATCGGCACAGCAGAAAGACAAGACCAGACGGGAAGGGAGCTGCCCGGCGGATCGCATTGATTTACCGCGAGGTATTGGATAGGGTAAAAAATAACGAAATGGCAGCACAGAGACGAGGACGCTCGCACACACAACGAGAACGACAGGGACCAAGACAAACCGGGGGCCGGGATGAAGAGGCAGCGAGCCAGGCCAGGGGTGAGGCGCCCTTGCCGCATGGTAGACGCACATACCGCGCGCAGCAACAACATCCAAGCCGCCCGCCGCCGCCGCCGCCGCCCAACCGTCCCGTTGCAATGAACATCCGCCTGCCTTGGCCATCAAACATCAATCTCTCTCCGTCTCCTCGCCCCTCTCTTCTCCCCTCCCCAAAGTCTCCCCATCCAGAGACGGGTAGAGATGAGGGCGTATCCACCCACACTCTGACATGCCTCTCACGCCTTTCTCCCCTCTCGCCAGTAGTTCACCCTCAACCGGGCGCTGCCCCTGCCTTGCCTGCCCGCTGACCTGTTCCCCCCCCTCCCCTCCCCTCACTGTGATACTGGGAGCAGAAGGTGACAGCATCGTCGGTTTTCGCCCTTGTGCGGTGGTGTTGCTTTGACCTCTTCTCCTCAATCTCATCCAGAAGGGAGGTAGGTAGGTACACTACGGGGCCCAGGGTGCGAGAGAGTTGCCTGTCTATCGTCCCACGCATTGCTGTGGAGAGGCACATTTCCCTCTGCTGCCCACAACAAGCACGCGCGCACACGCAAAGGGTGATGTTCCTGGGAGAGGTACCCTCTTTTCCCGTTCGGTCAATCAACCACTCAATCAATTCTTCAATTCGGTAATCAATTCATCGGGTCCCGAGGACTGAGCAAATCCCGGAAACCCCCAGGGCTGCGGCCATCGCATGCCGTGTACTGTACTTGTTCCCTTTTTTTTGCTTTGAGCCTTTAAACATGGTCGTAGTTGCGGGGGGCCCAAGTCTGTCTCTTTCAAAAACGGCGCCAAAAAGTCCCCAGCAGCTGGGTAGACCACCACATATACCTTGCCCCTCCAAAGAGCCTCAAATAGCGCGGGCGCGCGAGGCTGCCTGTCATTGTTGATTATGATGACATCTCGCTGTCGGAAATCCCTTAAGCGCATGCTGCTATCTTAAGCGATGGATTAGCCGATGGCAAAAGCAAGCAAGCGAGAAGGAACCCCTCCGACTTGGCAGCTGATTTGATGAGAAAATAAATAAAAACAAAAACAGGGCCCAACCAGCTTGTTGCCGTTCGCCGGTGTATGGATTGGGAGGAGGAGGAGAAGGGGAGGGGGGATCTGATTGATGGGGAGGGGATGAGGGGGAGCCACAGCTGCTGGAGACTGGGGTGGGCGTGGTTCTTTCTGCTACACTAGAGGTATTCTTATTCTAATTTGAGAGCGATTAAAACATGGGACCGTCAATAGCTGAAGAAAAAGAACGGATCGGACGGCGCGGCGGGTGGTCAGATTGATGGCCCTGCCTCTCTGCTTTCACGATGTTTGGGAACGAGATACCTATCGCACAAGGAGGGCCTCGTCGACGCCGATCTGAATATGGGTCATCCCACTGATGCCCCGTCTGTCTGCGCCCTGACTGCCTGCCTGCCTGCCTGCCTGTCACCCCTTGACCGTTGGAGGTGAGGGCGTTTTGGGCTTGGATGTTGAAGGAGGAGAGATGGGAAGGGGATTAAAAAAGAAAACGACATGGGATATGCCGTGACGTTGAGTGGGTTCTCTCTCCTCTGCCTTTCAAATGGAACGGCATCCACTTGGGTGGTAAGGACCCGAAGACTTGTTGGACGACTTAAGCCTCTTTCTCAACCCTCTCTCGAACCACATCTGGGCCCTTCCGTATCTGGGCCGGGCGTGTGCTCCTGGGCGCTCCAGTTCTATTGCCTGTCTGTCTCCAATGCAGAATGTGGGTTTGTCCCAAGTAATACATAGTAGTCCCGTCACCTGTGAAAGATGCAGCGGGGCCCTGGAGAGTGGGAGACAGACACATACAGTACATACACGCTCGGGGAGGAGAGAGAGAGAGAGAGAGAGGAGGATAGAGAAGGGCCAAGGTAACTTGGATTGAGTCCAACGTACATAGCACTCAGTATGGTGGTAACAGCGACAAATTGACCGCCATTTCTGGACTGGCGTGTTTCCGGCCGGGTCCTGTCTACGACCGTTCTGGACATCTGGGGCTGTCGAGGGAGCCACAGCTCTTCTCGTTTGACATGGGAAAGGTATCATGTATCCTGGGACAGGATAATTGCAATGGTACGGGGAGAATGGGCGTGCGCGCGTGCAGGGGCGGGCGAGTGCGAGCGCTCGTCGTCGTGGGTCGCAGTGGAAGTGAAGGAAATGTAGAGTGGGAGACAAGGAGAGTGCGCGCCCGGAAAATGGGGTCACTGGCAATCAATACAAATTGCTTCAAAGGCCAGCCGTAAGGGGAGGGGAAATTGGGGGGGAATGGGTCCAGTTCGTTGGAGGTCTCGTTTTACCGACCTCTCTCTGCCCCATCCTCAGGTCTGGGTCTCGTTGGTCTTTTCAAATATGAAGAGCAGCCAGGTCGGGACTTCGAACAAAAAAATCCAGCCAAGCGTGAGTGCAAGTCACGACGCGTTCGAGTGTTTTGCTGGACTGGCGGCAGGTGTGGTGTGTGTATATGTGACTTGCACCAGTTCCAGTTTGCGATCCACCTCTCTCCACAGGTTCTTCTGTCTTGGAGCGATCGTTTGGCCGTCCGACGCCTTGGCCGATCTCGAGCAGCGGACGGAGACGGATGTAGCGTAGCGCATCGGGCCAAGTGGACGGGATGCGATCTGGTGTCTTGGAAGGTCTCAAATTCCTTCGAGACAGGCGCTGGGCCTGGGCTAGACGGGCGGCTAGACGGTTTCTCAAGCGCATCGATACTGATCAGTGATTCGAGACGAGTGAGCCGAGTTCAAGCCGATGGTGTTGCGATCGCTAGCTATCAGAGGACGTCGCAACGCGCAAAGGCGTGCAATATGCTTTCACCCCTCGCCTCCCTTAATCAGACAGTCGCGTTCGAAGATGCGTCAGAGCATCGGTACAAGCCCGATGGACGTATAGAGTTTGGAGCGTTCCAAGGCAAGAGTGTTTGAATACGTAAGTGATGTTCACAACGGCGCTAAACATGGATTAGAGGCACACAGTCTTAGGTCAAGTGTAAAGTGGGTAGACGAATAGACGAGAAACCTTACTGCGCGCGTTGAGGTACGTCTGAGACGACAATACGTACCGTCTCTACCCTAAGGGACGTCGGCACTGCGCATGCGCTTCGAGGCTCGGCTGGCGGCTTTCCTCGATCGTCCACTCGGGGCCGGGAAAGCTAAGGCCGTCAGGAAGCAAGAGCCCCAAGCCAACGACAACACATGTAGATACTCGCCACAGGGCGAAGAACAGCATAGTCAGAGAGACATAGCAAGTGACGGGACAGGCCCGACAAGGACAGACAAGGCCAGGTTGGAACCGGGGACGCACCGATGCACTGAGTGAACGGCACCAGGACGCCCCGTGGGCTCGGGAAGAGTGGACG